TTACTATGTATTATTATAATAATTTCAAAACATTATATACTACCTGCTCATATATATTATGTATATGTATGCCAGTTACATTTTTAAATAATTTTAAGAAAATTCAAAAATTTTCTAATATTGTTTTAAAAAAATTAAAACAATATTACTTTAAATTAAAGATTTGAGTTTCTGCCTTCAATTATTAAATTGTTTAAATTAATAATTTTTTGCTACCTGTGATTTTGTGTGTACATTTCTGAAATATATAACTTAGTTACCTCTGATAACAGATCACTCTAAATTTTAATGTGGAGCTGCCTTGAAACGATGTGAATTGTGAAAGGCCCTATACAAATAAATGTAAATTGAATTGACCTCATGTGGGTTATATTGTTCTGCCCTCATGCAGGAGCGTGGCCACAAGTGTTGCTGCTGCCACCCTAAAAATTAGTTTTGCCACCCCAAAGCTGACCAATGAGTCAGTGACACAGCTCATACTGATGTAATGCACAAACAATTTTAGGTTTTGGTTTATGGAAGGGTGTCAACTTAGTCAACTTATTATAAAAGAGTCAAATTTAATAAAAGATTATCTTACCTCGATTAGGTCCCTATAAAAGCACATATCGAATATTAACCATGTCTGATATTATTTCATTCAGATAAAGTCGCATTTCTGTCCCTGCAGTTGGCTGAGTGTAAAAGGCTAACTGAATTTCACAGACTGGAGGGCATGCTGTGCCCTTGCAGTATAACTGAAGTGTTGAGAGAAGAACGCACTCTTGTCCACAGGCCCTGTTCCACAATCAAATTACTGGATATGCTTCTGAAATTAGTGAGGGTGCTCTAGTAGAGTGCAGATGTAATGTCTAAGCATGCAACCAACCACCATAACAGGAATAGCAATGTACAGTGAAAGATTTACAAGATTTAAAAGTTATTACTTTTACAAATAGTCAAGTCAAGTATATTTACAGTATATAGCGCTTTTCACAATATAGATTGCATCAAAGCAGCTTCACAGTATCAATCAAAACATAATAAAAATGTTCGTTTCTTAGTGGAAAAACATCCACGTTTGGTAGAGCTGATCAAGGGTATTACTGATGGATTAATTAATTTGAACATCTCCAACTTAGCAAGCCAAATTCAACAGAGGCAAGGAACCGAAAAAGTGACCATCAAGTGACCTAATGGTGTCCTAAAACTCCAACCTAATGGAGGAAAAAAAAAACCTTGGGAGAACCCTGGCTCAGTCGGGGGCCAGTTCTCCTCTGGCGTTTATGAGCTAGTGGCTGGATTTACGTAAAACTGTAAGGTAAAATTGTATATGAATGTCTCTAAACAGACTTTAAATGCGAATCTGTGATAAACGCTGATGGCGTTCACATGCGCATTAAGAATTGAATCTATAGTTGTGCGTTTGAATATATGTGCGTAGTTTTGTAATTCCCTACAAAACCATGCCTGAGCAAACTACTTGTCTATAAATTTAATACAGAATTTTTTTTATTTTATCACTTCGGTGTAGGTATGCGAAACAAATTTGACAATGCTTTATCTGTAGAGTGGGAAAGGGAGAGCCTAATTGCAGCAGCATTTCAAAAAAAATAATATTTTGATGCAAACATTCATATATTTTATATATATTCATATATTTTTTGCATCTATTTTGATGCATTTATGTCTAGTCAATTGCCATGGTTACCAATATGTCAATCACTGCAATTCCGAGAGTGAATCCTGCATTTATATGTGGAAGTCCCTTCTGAATTCTTAGCAGGATTAAAGGGGTGATGTACTGAGAAATCAAATTTTCCTTGAGCTTTTAACATCTAAGAGGTCATCATATTATAAGAATATCCTGTAAGTTTCAGAACTGAAAACGTCCTTACTTATTAGTCCAATAAAAGCTTTTATTGAAACCAGTCGCTCAGCAAACGACTCGTTTTTCAAAGTGGGGCACTATGACGTCAAAGAGGATAAAACACCACCCCCGCAGAATATGATAAACACCTACTAGGCCTACCTCGTGATGACAAACCGGATCGAGCTACCGAGCAATTCAAAATATTGTGCAGTGCCTGGTTGTGGAAGAAGACAATCGCTGCATAAGCTTCCTCTGGATTCCAATAGGACTGCATGGATAAACTTTATTTTTAATGACGTTCCAGCTGATGAGGGTAAAACATCGTCCGTCTGTTCGCTTAATTTCACCGAGGATTGTTTTGTAAACAAGACTGGATTTGCAGACCGATTAAGAGTAAAGAATGGTGCTGTGCCGTCTATATTGGATCTGACAGGAATTGTGCAACACACGGACTCTGGGTCGAACATTTTACAACATTGGAAGTTTTCAAAACAATTTCCCCCAAGTGCACCGACGGGTGAGGTGAAACTCATTATAATATGCAGAACTGTTATCCACTCACAGCAGTGGGCGTTTACTTCCAAGTCTTCAGTGCGAGACGCCCATAAAAACAGAGCGTTTTTCAGCTAGGCTCAAAACTAGGGTACAAAATAGCCTATTACTTATTCGTTTTGACGTTTTTGAATGCAAAAACCAAGCGAACGTCATAAGTTGACCTCAGACAACAATATAATAAAATTTAAAAAGCCAGTTCATGACCCCTTAAAAAACAAAACTTTTATTCTGAATAGATTATATAGCCTAGAAAGTGCACAAAAAAACAACGCTCCCTTTATAATCACTAAAAAGCAGTCATTCATCTCAGTTCATCACGATCTCACAAAAGTAATCCAATAAAGTAATTTTGATTAAAGTAATCATATTATATAATCAATAAAGCTATCTACACTGCACAATGAATCTCCTATTTACAGAGTGTCTACACTTTGTTAAAATGAGAGCATTCGCGAGCATGCAGAACTTAGCACTGTACAAAAACTCTGGCGTTTTGAACGGTGAGAAGATTTTGAGTAACTTAAACACTTCTGCGTTCTTCTGCTGCCATTGCGTTTAAGACATCAACAGACATGACTGTGATTGGATATATTGCTCAACACAACAAAAACACTTTGTAATAGAAACCTTTGACGCTTCCCTGAGTACAAACACAAATATGCACTGGAGCCAAGCATACAAATCTGTTCCGCCAATATACTATTATTATAGTTTCAACTGAGGGTGCTCTTGCTTTCCATCGAACAGGACCTGCTTGTCAGACAGAAACACAATGTACAGAACAACTCAATGGTGCATCCATTTTCAGCAACAGTATTGTATTCTTCATGTAGATTAGATCATATTTAAAGGGATAGTTAGGTAAGGCTGTCATCATTTACTCACTTTCATGTTGCTCTAATGTTATGCAGTAAAGCAGGGTTACAGTGTAGCTTAAATCCTAATTAGAAACACCTGAAGCAGCTAATGGAAGTGTTCTGGATTACTTGAAAATTACAGCCAGATCTGTTCGTAGCCCTTCAGGAGCACAGATCCATATTGTAGATGAATCAAACTTGATGTGCCCTATCCTGGCTAACGCCAGACCAAGTATCATTGAGAATGAGACGTGATCTGGAAACCACATGTTCATTTTCTCATATTTGAGGCGTGGTTTACGAATGCCCAGAGCCGTATTATTGGGTGCTACGAATGTCTATCAAATGCGCCTGTACGTAACTCATAGCCAATAGTTTCAATGATACCAGATGACATATGTAGAGGGACAGAAAATTAGACGAGGAAGAAGACGATGGGGGAGAGATTTATGTATACAAAGGCTGCACTGAAAGGTAACTTCGCTGCCAAGATGGATCCATAGATATAAACAAACTGCTTCGGTGTGTCGCATTAACGTCGTCATCGTCTTGCTACTCCCTCCCCGTTCTGTGATTGGTTCCCTATCCCAGGCGAAAATTTGGTTTGCTACCTAGCATCGTGAATAAAATCGCACTGTGACAAGGCAGCATGGGGAAACCCTGGCTAGATGTGCCCAGTAATTTTTAGTTAAGAACTGTTATTGTCAAGTGTGTTTTATTGTTTACCCTTTTAAATCTTTATAAAATACAGGCATCATTCCTCATAATATAGTATAACCGGTTTTACATACCATGGCAAGCCTCGTAGCCACCCCTCATTCTGCTGCAAATTGTCAATTTTGATTTACTGACTTTAAAAGTTCACTCTTAGGTAAACTTGATGACAACTTACTCAGAGGAAAAACATGCAATACCCAGTCCACTTTATTTCAAATCGTCCAATAAATATGCTTAATTTGATGTCAAGGGTTTAAATGCTTCTTAAAAGTCATCCAATTAGATTTTACACTGCAGCATAAGCATAAATTAAACTGTCTAAGCATAAATAATTAACATTAATAATAAGCATATAGCATACAAATACATTTCAACAATTAGAACTACTAGAAGCACATGGTTAAAAGAGGAGGTTACAAGTTTCCAGTGTACAGTACGATAGATAGCCTGAATGTGTGCCAGGACTGATAAGCTTTAGTTTACTGTATCTGTGACTTATCTCAAAGAAAGCCGAGATCACGCTTCAACACAAGCCGACAAGAGGGGTCTGACACCTCCACGCCCATTTTATCTCATACAACAAAAAAACAAACAAATATGATACACAAATGAATAAAATGATTAGTAGTAATAGTGACATACTATGTATGCGCTGTATTTGCGTGCGCTTGTGTACGTGAGCGGAGCCGGAGGGGCTGCACGTGAACTCAAATGTTTACATTGGATCTCATACGAAAACTACGTGTGTAACATTTCTAAAATTATGTTAACACAAATAGTGCTACTTGTTGTTAAAACATTTATGCATCGTGTTACATGTTGTTGTTGTTTTTTTTTACAACGGCCATTCTTCAGTGAGTTTAACAGCTGCAAATTGTAAACTCTCCATGTGGAGAAACGATTGGGCTGGTTTATCACGAGGACTTGAGTAGTACTTAAATAATTGTTAAATACAGATTTTTGTTTGAGCCAGTCGACTATGCAGGGATGATGAGACCATTAATAACCTCGAGACGTACCTGCTCCCGTCGTTTCTGCCAGCGGCCGCAGGGGCTTTCCTCCAAGATCTCACTCTCATCTTCTTCACTCTCCTCCTCTTTCCCCCCGGACCCCGATATGTTCTCTGGAACGGACATAGTCATTTTACCCTTTCGTGCTGCTTTGACGGCTCCTTTAAGACCAACTGAGCACGCAGGACCTCCTGAGGCTTGCAGCGATGTTGTAGCTGCAAACGTGTTTCATTGAATATAGAAGAGTGACGAATAGGCAACCGCTGGTCACGATTTCAAGTTACAGTTCCGCCATCAGTAAAATATAAATACTGCAACAGGCCGTTAAAACGACACAATTCGCGAAAAGCGTTAAAAAAGCAAGGCAAAACATTCACTGTTGGTCAATTTAATCCCATCCTTACGAATAGCCTACTTAGAAAAACGATAAAGCTACTGAAAGCAGACAGCGTCGTACGTGAGAGACGTGGGTCGCAGTCCAGTCCACCCTACACACACTCAGTGTTGAACACTAAAGAGACAGAGTCAGTCCTACAGGCATCATTTCATCTCCGTCCAGCTTTCCCGACTGGCTGGAGCTTTGTGAATTTCCCCTTTTTAACATGCTACCGTAAAGCGTGTACAATATGCACATAGAGAAAAAATTTAGTATCCTGTGCCATAAAATTCAGTGCATATCAGATTACTCAACCCCAGTCATAATTTACACAGTGCAAAGGGTGATTGGGCTATAAATGGCCTACACTTGTAAATTACAATACACGTTTTGTAATGTTGATTTAAAATGTCACCGTTTTGTACCTAGCCTATTGAGTTCCTTAGAAAAAAGGGTTCAATGCGGTTTAATATGTAGAACCATAGGGTTCTTGACTCAATGTTTAAAACCCTTTATGCCAAAAATATATTTTTTTTAAATGAGAATTTGTAATGCATTATTTGCCTTTATTATTTATATAGTCTTTCTACTGATGGAGTGTCTGTGAGCTGTTTCATAGCATATAATTAAGATGAAAACAACAAATTTATTTTATTAAAAAATAAAATAAATAAAGACATTAATTCATTACAACTATATATCCATAAAATTATCCCATGCCCTTAAAATGGCTATGTACGAAGTGCCTGACAAAACCCTTTAATTTCGAAATAAACACTTTTTTCTAGCATTGCAGGTAAACTGTAAATGAGAAGTCAGGGTGCAGTGGGTGTGAACATTGAATTGTGTATGTGATTTAGTATTTCTCAAGTCAAGGCTTGCATGAGTGTTGAAACTAGTATTTACCGTAAATGGAGTGACTGGGTTTAGACTTGTGAAAACTTCCCACAGACTCTTTATACCCTTTCTTAAATCACATACAATAGCATACATCAAACCAAGTGGCATATAAACACACTTGACAAAAAATTCTGCTTTAAATAGCCTATATTTATTTTCAAATAGGACTCTTCAAATGTTAGTGGAACATGTCCTGAAGTGGAAGTGAACTGAAGTGGTTTCTCTTCTAAGAAATTTGAGATACACTTTATACAGTAGGCTATATGCACAAGAAATGACCTTGAGACTAGCTGTTTAAAAGTAAAATTACAGAAATTGCTTAGAAAAGGGAAGTTAATTCTGAGAAAAAGGTCTTGCATAATTCATGTGTGGATAAATGCAATGACACATGTCCACATTTCTGTATATATATTTGTACTTTTCTACCTCTCACACTCTTTCTTTCGAAATCCAATGAGAAACCAATGCTTGTCTAGGTGTAGTATGAATGCATTTGTTGCTAATGCACCAATCATCAGCAATTGTACTTGAACAAGGCATTGATAATTTTCTTTTAATGCATACATGAAAATACTATTTTTTTTTACCACATTATTTCTTCATTCAGTTCTCTTCTGTTCGGTTATTTCACCAAGCTTCCCAACAGCTACATCAGTTCTATTTAATTTATTTGAATTATTTGAAATGATCCTCATCTTTTTTAACCAAAGATTTCTTTCTTAGAAAAGCACTTCTAGTAAATCCCCCCTGAGGTAACAGCTCTTCTGAACAACTTATTTTCCTGCCAGTGCATGACTGTCTGTTCTCTGTTTATTTTTGTAAATAGAAATTGTACAAATTTTGTCAGACATCTCTTACTTGATATTTTGTGCCACCTGCTGGTAAAGTTGTGTAGTTATAAAAGAGTATGGATACTGAATCAAGGGCTGCGTTCCAAACCGCATACTCAATGAGTAGGTACTTAATTTCAATAAGTACTTACTCATCGAGCGCTAAAAGAGTAGGTACTTTATAGCCAAATCTCGTTGAGTATGAATGCGAACCGGACATCTGCCATGTTGACGTTATCATGTGACCTACTACGCGTTATCACAAGCGCAACACCTTCATGCAATTAAAAAAAATATGAACGATACGTCTAATTAATCTACCTATAAATATCTTGATATTGATGAAACTTGCTCATTTTGTTGTGGTATTGTTGAAGAAACAGCTGCCTATTTATTTTGTGAATACATTTAGGGTTGATTTAAGTTGTTATATTTTAAACCCTACTGACCAACAGTGTTATTCTAACGATACTTTTTTTTTATTAAGAAACCCCAAAATCATCATCTCTTGATTATGTTGTTAATTTCTTTATTTTATACCCAAAAAGTTTCTCCTTTAAGTTTTCCTCTTTTTCTTCATGAATTTACCTCGTTTCATCCCTCAGATATAACAACAACTTTTTTTATGTATTATGAAGAACTATAAAGAAGATATTTAGCCTTTTTTATTGTTCTTATTTCCTGTGTATAAATATAATTTTATGTCATATTATGATGTACACAAACCAATGATCTTTATATTTTCTGTTTTGTCACTATGATTGTTACATAAACTATAGTATCTTTCCATGATCTTGCATATTAATAAGTTTAAATTATATGAGCGACAGGTGCTCTAACACTTCATAACATCAGTAACTTGACAGCACAACCTAGAACAGCGCTTGTAATGTCTGCACAAAGGAGACGGGCAGCTGCTTGAAGATCTCTTTTGGAGAAAACTGTTGATTTTATACTCCAAAAATGTAAGTATCACTGCTTAAAAATTAATATTACCTCAGAATGAATTTCATTGTTAGCCCACCCCAAAACTTAAACAAAATAATAATATTAAATGCTGACCAATACTTATATAACTTTTTATATACTAAAAATATAATTTAATAAAACAAGCAAAATGTCATTTGTTTTGTAATATGACAGTAATGCATGAATTCATTTATATTGCTAAATGCAGTGAAACATCTCAATTGTCAGTCAATCGATGAATTAATGCATAAATTAATTACATTTTATATACTGACAACAATAAGAAACATGAATAAATGAGTAAAAGAACAAATAAAAGTAAATAAAAGTAACCATCACAATAAACAAATGCATATACAAGTCAACACATGAAACAGCTTTATTCAAACTACAAGCATGTATTTACAGGCACTGAACCCCAAACCCTACTGCCGACTCAACACAGCGGTTCCCATTCTTTGATGACAGCATTCAGCATCATGAGCCTCTCTCCACTGGATAAACACACGCGTGTTCTCCTGTCCCTGTAACATACAGACAAGATTCACATTACGAGCTCAACACTGCATTTACATGTTGAGGTTGATGTGTTAACTCACTTTTAATCCAACTTAAATGTTCCTCAATATATCAACACCAATAAGGGACAAATTAAATATATATCATGTTTAGTTACTTTATATATGTTTTTATTCACAGCACATAATTTGTCTAATGTAAGCAGTGTTGACAACAGTGAATTATCCTACATAATAGCACACACATGTATTTTTCATGTTGGGATGTGCTCACCTGCAATACTTATACAATATTTTCCTTCCTGATGTAAATAGACATTTTAAATAAGCGTTTTTAAGATGTATGGTTATGTAAATACACATTGGAAACGTAACTTTACGGTTACTGGAGCTCCCCTGTTATCAATACATAATAAAACATGTGTTTACAGCAAAATCACAACTATACTATACTGTCTAACTCCTTTAGACGTTCAACAGTTAAAACGTTTACTCTATAGTAGTTTAACACATAGGCTACGATTTAAACCGTATTTACTCACATTTGAAAACCCCCGCGTCGCTTATCTCCGCGATGTTGATATTGACGTATCCTCTCGCGTGGCCTCCTGGGATAGATGAGTATCATGAGTAGCCGTGGAAAAGCACTCAAAAATCTGGGCGGAAGCAGTAAGCCATCCGGGAACTTCTCGCCTACTCTTTTTATGAAAACTGATGTTTGGAACGTACTGCTTCCTTCACGTACTGTTTTCGCCTACTATATAGTAGGAAAGTAGGCATATTGGAACGCACTTAAGTCCGAATCTCGCGACAATTGCTACGTCACCCAGGTAATTCTCGCCTACTCTTTTGGATTCATTCATACTTTTTTGCTCGCCTACTCTTTTTCCCATACTAAATAGTAGGGAAGTATGCGGTTTGGAACGCAGCCATGCTCGTCGATCATGATTACTTGTTTTGGTTGTGTTTCATTGTACAAGCTGTAGTTTTTGTCACCTGAACATGAATAAGAGATACAATAACCAAGAGTATACAATGAAGGTTCTTTAAGGCAATTCTTTAAATTTAAATATAATGTAACTTCTTGACTTGAACAATCATCTAGCCACACTAGTCACATAACAGCTCTGGAGATTAAATGGAACACACTGGAATAGCTAATTGAGACCCTGCTGGATATGATTTGCCGGTGAAGTGTTTTTTAAAAATTTAAAATATTAGTGTTATTGTGTCACGAAATGTAGTTTTAAGAGTTTTTCAGTCGAGAATATTGTTGTTTAAAGCTCAAATCTGTGGTTTATTTGTCAAGATAGATACAAAATTTGTTCCAGGTGATCACTGGGCGCTAAGCGGCTAGTCATTCTGACGTTTCCCACGGGCTCTGTGTCTAGGGGTTAAACATGAGCTATTAATCGGCTTGTGTATATCTAACGGGCGATCTTTGGTCTCATTAATCTATAATTTGTTCCCTGGTAAATCATTTTGGCTGAGGGTAGGCTATTCAACTGTAATGTTGTAATGTTAGCCTGTTGACTTATGTTTGAATCTTTAGGCTACTTACACTTTAATAATGGCTATTATTGATCAATAAACTGAATTTTTTAAAAAAAAGAGGGTTATGTCATTTTATTTTATAGCCGTAAGACTATTTTAATATATAGCTTTGCCTATATATGATATCACCAACACGTCATGTATTTTTTCAAGTATGGGATGGGAAAAATTTCATATAATAATAATAAATAATTTCATATAATAATTTCATATAAGAATTTCGTATGATCATCACAACCAGACTGTAAAAGATCACAACAGAATTGACGTAGGCCTGTGACGTGTGCAAAACTGTTCCAATTCTGCTCTTCACAGCTTCGGGCCCTTGCTTCAAAGAAGACCTTAGGGCATAGTGTGGATATCGGAACAGGGCCTAACACACTGCAGAACATGAAATTCACAGGGAGGAGTCGGACCAAGATCCAACTCCCCCCCCCTCACACATGCCCAAACCTACCCAACTCCGCCCCCTAATCCCTAAACCCAACCCTAATCCTACCCTCTCCACCCCTTGGATCTTGACCCCGAGTCCGACTCCTCCCCGTGGACCTCATGTAGCCTACTGCCAAAGTATTGAGGTGCTACTGCCTGACACCGCCAGTGGAGGGCACCAGAGCCCGTCTGAGGGCACTCAGTTTAACAGCTCGATGATCTACGGCATCTCGGTTTGGACAAAAAGTGTCGTCTCCAGTCCATCAATGACGATGGGTGACACGATTTTTGAAGAATTAGAAGATTTGATGCATTTTTCTGTCGCCGATTTACCCGCTCGTGGATATGCAGTGATGGAGGAGATCCGACGACAAGGGAAACTGTGTGATGTTACCCTAAAAGTATTGTGCTTTTCTTTGTTAGGGTTAATTTGCTAGTGAAATGCTAGCCAAGTAGCACCTGGCTGTCAGCATGGTAGAGGCTAGTGATGTTACACTGTTAACAGAAGGAAGAGCTGTAATGTCAGGTCGTTTGCTAATGTGTCTCATTGCATACATTTCTTAAAATTGATCTTTCTATGTTTTTTTTTATACATTTTAAAGGCGATGTATTGCAGTGTTATTTGTTAGCATGTACAGCTAACATCCTTATCAGCTTTATATTATAAACTACTTAATCACGGAAGAGGAATACATCCTCCTATTACTGCTATTTCAATATGTAGAGAAATTATAAACGGCTTAGGTTGGAAACTCTCCTTCTATGGTGTGTTTAGAAGTTTCAGTCATTAAGTCATTTCCTCATGTTTAATGTTTAACTACGTTATATTATTAAGCTGAATCTAAACACCTGTGAGAGCTGGATATCCAATTTATCGTAAACTATTTGGCTTATTGTAAACTACAGTTGCTAGCTATTTATTTTGTATCTATCTAATTATTTTTTAAACTATTTCCCCCCTCCCAAATAACAATTTATATGCAATAAAATACTGTACATCTTGACATAACTTGACAAAAAAAAAAAAAAAAATTCGTTTGAAAATGTCATTACTTTTTTGTGAATTAGCTCTGTTGATGGAATTAATTAAAATATTTATGAATAATTATAATACTTTAATTATAAGAATAATGCTCTTAGTAATGGCTGTTTTAGTTGTATTTTAAAGCTTGTTCTAAACATTTTTGAGGCCCCATAATGGGTCCCAGCCTGCCATTTGAGAACCACTGGTTCAGATTCATTATAATATGCAAAATTCAGCCTACTTTAAGTCAAGTTAAGGTTTATTTATTAAAATCATCTCAACAAAGCATGCAACAGTACTTGCAGGAACAGAATTGTAATTTCTGGAGCTCAAAAGAAGAGAGGTGGAACTAAAAATTAAACCTCAAGATATTAATATGAAAGTGTGTTCTAGGAACATGTCAACAATGAAAAAAGTGCACATTTCTTATGTTTTCTACATCTAATATATATCCTGTGCTCAGTCTGTTGCATCATCAGCCCTTTATGTGGGTCACTGAGAGCAATAATCCTATTTATCTCTTTCACCTGACCTGCTGTACGCATGTCTTTGCTGACTGACACACCTGGCTTATAGTACATATTATGCTGAGGTTTATGGTATACTTTCAGTACATCAGGTTTTCTTAATGCCTGAATGTTCCATTTCTCTCCACATTTGCTGCTTCATTCAATACAATTTCACTTGGCTGTTCATTTTTGCCCTATGTGGGTGGAGGGATAATAATGTTTCAGATTTTTAATTTGGCACCGAATGTCACGTTAACAACACTGAACCAGGACATTTATGTATAATGTGTGTATGAGATGATTTCTGACCAGAATTTTTGCACCCGTCTGTGTGTATGCAGGTAGGAGAGCACAAATTCAGTGCTCACAGAATAGTCCTTGCTGCTTCTATTCCGTACTTCCATGCCATGTTTACCAATGACATGGTGGAATGCAAACAGGATGAGATTATCATGCAGGGCATGGATCCCAGGTGAAGATACAAAATCAATCAAGATCTCTAGACATGGTCTTTTTTGTTTGTAAGTGTATGCTAATATTTGTATCTCTGTTTTGCCTCTAAACAGCGCACTTGAATCCCTAATAAACTTTGCCTACAATGGACACATAGCCATTGACCAACAGAATGTCCAGGCTCTCCTGATAGGGGCCAGTTTCCTGCAGCTTCAAAATGTCAAAGATGCCTGCTGCTCTTTTCTACAGCAGAGGTACTGCTTAAACAATTATGATTTCTTCATGACATATAGTATAGATATAGAGCTAACCCTTTACAATAAGGTTGCATTAGTTAACATGAACTTAGAATGAACAATACTTCTACAGCATTTACTAATCTTAGTTAATGTTCATTTTAACATTTACTAATACATTTAAATATTTTATTTTTAATTTTTTAACTAATCCACTGTGAACGTACATAAACAAATGAACAAGTGTTGTTTTATTAACTAAGATTAAAAAAAGATTAATAAATACTGTAACAAATGTATTGCTCATTGTTAGTTCCTGTTAGTTAATACATTAAAGGAATAGTTCACCCAAAAATGAAAATTCTGTCATTTAATCAGACCAATTAAGTAATAACTGTGAGAGGTCTTTCTCAGGTTATAGAGTTATAAAGATTATAAAAATGAGACATGAAAGTGATTCACTTCACAGATCATTCTAGACTTGCTCCTAATTAACAGGTTGCATCCAAAGAATTGCCTTGGTGTACGGCAGTTCGCAGAGACTATGATGTGCACCACACTTTACGACGCAGCCAACATCTTTGTTCACCAGCATTTTGTGGAGGTATCTTTGTCCGAGGAGTTCCTGGCCCTTCGGCCGGAGGAGGTGTTTGAGCTCGTGGGCTGCGACGAGCTCAATGTCCAAGCAGAGGAGCAGGTCAGATTCTAATGACTAACATAAAGTGACAAGAACAGGATGGTAGAGAATGATGGATGTAAATCACACATTTTCATTGTTTCACAGTTTTGGGTGTTTTCTTTAATGAGATACTCTAAAATGAGAGAAAATCTTATATATTTTTTTTGTTTTTAGGTGTTTGAGGCCGTGCTTGCTTGGGTGCAACATGCACGTGAAGAGCGTGAGCCACGGTTACCAGAGTTACTGTCTAAAACCCGACTTCCTCTATGTCGACCTCAGTTCCTTGCTGACCGAGTCCAACAAGATGAGCTTGTACGCTGCTGCCACAAATGCAGGCATGTTTCTTTCAGATAACTTATGCTCCATAAATGGACCTTTTGGCAAAAACACACTATTTCGAATCCAAAAGTGAATTTTTGTAGATCCAAATCTACAGTAAATACATTTTCAATACATTATCTAAGAGTACTATTGTACTTCAAGTCTGCATGAAACGGTAGTTGTGATTAGTATTTTCATGGCTATTGTGATGTACTGTATTACTGACTGAGTCTCTAACAAGAAAAAAGTTGCACGGGACTTTATTTTGGTCATCGGAAATTAGTTGGATCATTGTTGTTTTCTATTACGATCTCATGTGAGTGACAGGTTATCTTGCCCTTGCACCAAAACAACATGTCATCAGAGAACAGATTATTTTGATTAAAGGGATACTCCACTTTTTTTGGAAATTTGGAAAGGCTCATTTTACAACTCCCCCAGAGTTAAACAGTATTACCATTTTCAAATCCATTCAGACGGTTTTCTTATATTTAGAAGAATATCAGTAACCAGACAGTTTCTGGTCTCATTGACTTCCATATTAGGATATACTATGGAAGTCAATGAGACCAGAAACTGTCTGGTTACTGATATTCTTCTAAATATCAGAAAATCGGCTGAATGGATTCGAAAACGGTAAAACTCAACTGTTTAACTCTGGGGGAGTTGTAAAATGAGCCTATTTCCAAAAAAATCCCTTCAAATTCAATATTCCATTAAAAAAGATCAATGTTGATTTCATGGTAAATAATAATTATTAGGTGGCTGATGGCTGAGACTATGTAACGTGTTCTTTAGTAATACTTTTGAAAGGATGTAGGGATTAATTATTTTGTGAATTGTTTGTGCGTTTCCAAAAGTATCCATGCATGAATATGCATTTGACCTTTAATCTAACAGGGACCTTGTAGATGAGGCAAAAGATTACCATCTGATGCCGGAGCGACGGCCGCACCTCCCAGCATACAAGACCCGACAGAGATGTTGCACATCCATCGCAGGTTTAATCTATGCGGTCGGGGGCCTCAACAGTGCTGGTACCTCCTCCTTCAGACTGTCCTTTTAGAAAACTCATGTACTAGTTACTGTCAAGTGTCAGTTTTTGTTAATAAGTCAAAGTTTTATGCACAGGTGACTCATTAAATGTCGTGGAGGTATTTGATCCAATTGCAAACTGTTGGGACCGATGCCAACCTATGAGCACAGCCCGCAGTCGAGTGGGTGTTGCTGTTGTGAATGGGCTGCTTTATGCCATTGGTGGTTACGACGGTCAATCACGGCTTAGAACTGTGGAAGTTTACAACCCAGAAACTGACACGTGGACCAAAGTTGCTAGCATGAATACTCAACGCAGGTAAGAAATCGTGAAATTGTAAGGGGAAATATATTTAATATATTATTTGAAAAGCTATTTGAAGCTAGCCTGGCTAACGTCAGACCACGTATCATTGACATTAAGATGTGGTCTGGGAACCACATGTTCATTTTCTCGTATTTGTGGCGTGGTTTACGAATGCCCAGAGCCGTTTATTGGGTGCTACGAATGTCTATCAAAAGCGCCTGTACGTAGCTCATAGCCAATCGTTTCAATGATAACAGGTGACGTATGTAGAGGGACAGAAAATTAGATGAGGAAGGCTGCTTAGAAAGGTTACTTCGGCCATGTTTGATCCATAGGTATAAACAAACTGGGTGTGTCGCATAGACGTCGTCATCATCTTGCTACTTCCTCCCCGTTCTGTGATTGGTCCCCTCGCAGAGGCGAAAATTTGTTCCATGATATCCAGACTATCTAGCAGCGTGAATAAAAATGCGCTGCAACAAGGCAGTATGGAGAAACCCAGGCTAGTTTGAAGCTGGATTTAAACCGAGATTTTTAGATACATGTGATGTGTGCATGTACATGTATGTATATCTGATACTTTTTGTCTATCATCTCTTCTTTCTGTATTAGTGCAATGGGAACAGTTGTTGTTGATGGTCATATATATGTCTGTGGTGGATATGATGGCAAGTCCTCTCTAAATTCAGTCGAGTGCTATTCCCCAGAGACTGACAGGTGGGTCATACATTCTTTAGATAATGTTTGGGCTGTCACTTGATTCATTTGTAATCAGCATTTTAATTAATGGAAAATATTTTGTTGAAAAAAAAAACAAAAAAAAAAACAACAAACTAAGAAGCCTTTTGCTTTGTTTTTTCGGAATCAGAATGTGTCTGATTAATGTGTGTGTGTCTTCTGTTACCAGATGGACAATAGTTACAGAAATGAGTGCAAGCCGCAGTGCTGCTGGTGTTACTGTGTTTGAAGGCAGAATATATGTTTCAGGCGGTCATGATGGCCTACAGATCTTTAACACAGTAAGTGAACATCATAATTCAATTGGCAGGATATAATTTACAAAATACTACAATATGTAAAGTTGTGAATACTCCTTGTTGCCACTAGGTGGAGTACTATAACCAGCATACAGCATTATGGCACCCTGTCGCTCCCATGATAAACAAGCGCTGTCGGCATGGTGCTGCAGCCGTGGGCAGCAATCTGTATGTGGCAGGAGGTTACGATGGCTCTGCGTTCCTCAGTGGAGCAGAGGTGTACAGTTCAATAACAGATCAGTGGAGCCACCTAGTGGCCATGAACACTCGACGCAGCCGCATTTCTCTAGTAGCCAACTGCGGTCGACTCTATGCAGTGGGAGGTTATGATGGACAGTCCAATCTCAGCTCTTTGGAAATGTACGACCCAGAAACGAACCGCTGGACGCTTATGACACCGATGCTTTGCCACGAGGGCGGGGTAGGGGTAGGCTGTATACCCTTACAGCCAACTTAACGCCACATCTCCCTTAGCCCAAAAGGATTTTGATAATTTAACATAAAGAAAGAAAAGTTTTTGTACTGAATAATCTAACGAAATGCACTCATGATCCTTGGTTCACATGTTTGCATTAAGAGGTACCATTATTCAGGCTTTTATTCTAAGAAAAGCCTAAAGCAGATATGCCAGTACACCTTTAATGGTGACATAATCCTGTTCTGTTCTTTTGACGAGCAAATGTAGAATTCATACGTACGTTCAAAGACATTGACATCAACTGGGCCGCACTTCTGCTAAAAAACGCACTTTTGCACTGTTAACAGGTAGCGTCAGTTGTGGGCCCTTTTAAGCATCAGTTGTATAACTAAACTGGAAGCCAATTTAGATTTCTAGACAGGTAAAAGTTAACCACTGTTAATCCATGCCATAATTGGGAGAAAGAGTATAATCAAGTGGGTATGATTAATGAGGATAAAGCTGTTTTTAATTCTATTTTATCAAGATTTTTCTCACTTAGAAGTACTAATCAAATGTTATTTGGGATATTGCTCGTAATGAATGTTGCTGTTTTGCAGAACATGATAGAAATGTGAGCAAAATGTGTCTGCACAAAACATCTGCTAGATGTGCCATGACTTTCCACTTTACATGGGACTGTTCTGATTTCACCACTTTATTGACTTGAATTCTCTTACTTTTTTTGGGAGGGGTGGAGGGGGGGTCAGGTTTTAATGTGCAGATCTTTTTGATTTTGGGATTGCCGATCACCATGAGAATCAGTACACATACCAAAAAGAGGGAGAGTGAAATTGACATTAACTGACGATTAACTTGTCAGATATGTGCTCACAGGATTATTAAGTAAGAGTTTTTTAAGTATGAACGTTCCCTTGTGCTTTCTGCAAAAAAAATGTCAAAATTATGGTTTATGACTGTATACATTTTTAACCTTTTGCTTTTACTTTCAAATAACCCATCTGAAATTAGGATTACTGGCTGTGAATTTTTAACATGGTTTATATTTTCTTTCTCATATTACCAATACTGCATTTCTCTGCTGATTTTTCTTTTTTTAATGATTTTGTATTAACTTCCAATTGTGATGCAGTATTTCTATGTTTAATTTATTATTAGCTGTAATCATTCTTTTTATAGCATTGCACATTGTAGTCACTTAAATGAGAATCAAGTTTACGTTTTACAGAAATCTATATATATATATATATATGTATATGTATAAATATATAGATCACATTTTCTGTATGTGTTTGATTATTATTCCTCAGCTACCTCTGTATGAGATGGGAGAGCTCAACAGGGACAAATATCGAGTCGGTCGCCCTGATATCTTTTAAAAACATTCCCGTTTAACCTGAAGGAACGGCATTAACTGAGATCTTTTGTGTGGGACTAAAATATTCTTTTTCACATAATTCCTATATGTCTTAAATAAACATTGATTTTATGGACACAATGCCGCCCTGTGCTGTAATTTTCCCTGTGACGCACAACAACTTTGGGTCACACCCTTTGAGTGGTGTTTTAATTGAACAGACGTGTGCCTGTTCACTGTTAGTATGAGAGTGAAGGATGACTGGGAACATGCAAAGATCCCTGCTGGTGTTGCTGCTCATCTCTATGCTGAACTTCTCAGCTGCTTTTCCCATGGAGCCACTTCAGAAGGTAGGAGAATCTTTTTATTAAATTAATTGGTTATATTGAAAAGAATAGCAAAAACTGATGCAATGCATTTATTGTTCATCATACAGACACCTCTACTGTTCCAACCATCAGATCCACAGCCGTCAGAAAGTGTAACACAAGGAAACTCGCAGGTGAGAAATGTGTTTGTGATGTGACACAATCAGACCTATTTGTTCATGTATGTAGATTATTACAGCTGTGCTGATGTTTATAGGACGTGAGGGTCAGCAGTCTGGGATTCCGTCTGAAAAGAGCGAATTCTGCTAACACAAAGAAACCGGCCCGTTACTGTGCTGGATGCTTCTCAGTTATTGGAGACCCAACAAGACCAGAGAAATGAAATCTGCTGTATCCAAATTCTACGTAATTCATATACCTAAATATGCTTAATATTCAGTTTCTGTTGGAAAGAATAACTTGTTTTTTTTTTTAATGCAGCTATGTTTTAGTATACTATGTTAGACTGTCATTTCTTAATTTTTCATGAATTTGCACTTTTTTAAAAATATAAAACATTCAATGGTTTTATTTAAAACGCTCCATGGTTACCTATTTGTACTAGAAATGTCAGTCCGCTATTGTCTTTTGTTATAGCTTTGTGTTTTTTCCCCATGCACGCAGTAAACTGCTATTTGAGGATTTCCTAAACAAAGAAATGATAGTTCAGAATGATAACATGGATTTGAAGTAATGTCTAAGTGGCTGTTTCATAGACGTGTCATTATAACCACAAGGTGTCATTATCGTGTTAAGCAGCTTCAGTTTTGACCATAGTCAATTATTCATATTTCCCACACTATCATTTATGGCTTTGGTACCCGTGGGAGTAAAACGGAATATATACATATAGGATCAGGATATGGAATGAGAGTCTGTATATAAAATAAGCTAAATAAAAATGAATTAAAGTCAATGTTTTATGGTTGGATCTTCAATTTATGTCTTATGTTTTTATTCATTTCTTAACCTGCATAGCAATCATGATGTAGGCTATAGATGCTGTAAACTACAAGTGAGAAGAAACAAATGAAAATCAAGAAAATTAATAAAATATTTCATTCTTTCATTCTTTCTTCTGGAGCACCAGGAGCATTAGAACCTGACGAAGGACATCAAACATATGTTTTTTAATCTCCAAAAAGCTTAATATCAAGTTAAAAAATATTTAAAAAAGCTTCACATAGATTAAAGGAGTAGTTCACTTTTTTAAAAAAAACTTTTGCCGATAATTTACTCACCCCCATGTCATCCAAGATGTTTGTCTTTCTTTCTTCAGTCAAAAAGAAATTAAGGTTTTTGATGAAAACATTCCAGGATTTTTCTCCATATAATGGACTTCAATGGGAACCAAACGGTTCAAGGTCCAAATGAGAGTTTCAGTGCAGCTTCAAAGGGCTTTAAACGACACCAGACGATGAATAAGGGTCTTATCTAGCGAAATCATCGGTCATTTCAAAAATAAATAAAAAATGTTGAAGTTTTATTAGCACAAATGCTTGCCTTGCTCTATCCGTGTGATGAGTGTTCGTGTTCGTGACTCTCCTGTTCAAACTTGTTCATTAAAATGAACAAATCTTTTTTCATTTTTCAAGTCATGAATCGAAGGGTCCTAGATAAGACCCTTATTCATCGTCTGGCGTCGTTTAAAGCCCTTTGAAGCTGCACTGAAACTATCATTTGGACCTTGAACCGTTTGGTTCCCAATGAAGTCCATTGTATGGAGAAAATCCTGGAATGTTTTCATCAAAAACCTTAATTTCTTTTCGAAATTATAAGCAAAAGTTTTTTTTTAAAAGTGAACTACTCCTTTAATATTCACACTACAGTCAGACAATTTGAGAACTAGGCCTATGTTTTGTAGATACAATATTATATAGAAACAGTACCTTCTGTCTGTTGACAGCTCTGTGGTTCAGGTGTGGAAAATGTAGCATCAGTTCGTCCCTCAGGTGCTGAAGAACCATCGGGGAACCTATAGTACAGAACATTGTGGTTACATACAATATCCCCTGAGAGAGCGGTTTGGAATCAAAGAAACTGAAACTAGGGAGAGTTTCAAAGAACTTCGGAAGAACGAGGAAGAAGGTTGACTCAGGGTTTTTTTGTTTTTGTTTTTACAGTCATTGTCCTCCTGTCATAAGCAGATTGAAAATGAGCCTCACGTTGAAGAGTGGAATCTGCTCTCCTCTCTGTCCAGAATTCCATGATATGCTCCAATCTCCTGCTCCAGCTTCATCTTGTTGTTGTGCAAGGTTTCATAGTCCCGACGCTGCTGTTCGATGTCCCCACAGATGTCAGTGAGCTCGCCCTCCAGCTTTCCGATAACAGAGCCTAGGTTTTGGAGCTCAATGTCGTGCCAGTGTTTGGCATCGTTGAGGGCGTTCTCCAGGCCTCGTTTCTGCAGGGAATCGGGGATCATACAAAGTTCAGTCAATTGAATAGAAAAGGAGAATCGCCGGTGCAACACGTAAATTGTAATTGTAAAATTCTTCTTGGTAACAAATTTATTTGAGGTGCATAACAGTCCTCACCAGGGACTCTGATGAAGATGTAATTTTACATCGAAACGTTAGTCAAGTCACTGTTATGCACCTCAAATAAATTTGTTACCAAGATGTATGTGTTGCACCGGCGATTCTCCTTTTCTGTTTGGTCTTGTCCTGCCCTGGTTGCACTAGATTGTTTGGGAATTTACAGAAGCGCAGCAAGCCTTCCTTTTCATTTTCAATCAATTGAATATTGTAATGCTTTATGATTTTTTTTTCATCACACTTTGAGAAAGTTGTCCTACCAGAGCTCTAATAGACTCAGTCTCGGCCTGCAGACTCTGAATCTTGCATCCGGCATCATTGCATTCAGTCTTCAGACTCTCAAGCTCCTCTTCTTCTCGACTCAGCTTACTGTTCACACTGTGGGCCTGCTGCACATTCACATATAGGGGTAAGTATATATATATATGTATATATATATATATATGATTCATGTTCTATGGTTTACCTTGCACTCAAGGTAGCCGTCAGTCTCAGCACGGTTCCTCTCAATGACCTTCTCCCAGTGGGAACGGATGAAAGCTAGAATCTGGTCCAGGTTGGTCTCAGTGGGAGCATCCGGCTTATCACCCTCATGCCCTGACATCTGCTTATAGAGAACTCTAATATCCTAAATAAGAGCAAAAATAGATCCTAATTTAACTCTAACTCTTAAGATAATTCTATCATTTAGCTGTGGTCTTATTTCACCTCTATATGACTTTGCTCCAGATTCATCAGCTCATTCTTCATGCTGTCAATATCATTTTCCAGGTCCAACCTGGACAGGTTTGCATCATCGATGACTTTGTACAGAGAGTTAATCTCCTCCTCCACTGCTTTACGGAACGGCTGCTCATTCTCGTACCTATACAATTGTGCGTAAAAACACAGTCTTTGCTGGAAATCTGTTTATGCAGATAAATGCTAGAGCGATGAAAATCTGTTCTCTGTTTTAATCAATGAAGCACACTCACACCTCTCTTTGAAGTCCTCTGCATTGGCTTGAACGTTCTCGGTCTGGAGCATAAGTCGAGCGTTGTCCAGGGTGGCCTCACTGACCTTACAGAAAGCAGGAAGATGTTAGCATGTACGCCAGTAAGTATTCATTAGTATAAAAAGTTATTAAAAGTTATTTTATTGTCAATATAAAGTTTGACAATATTCTCTATCTCTCTAAATAAATAAATGTTCTCCAAATATAAATATCACTACATTTCGTTAGATTTATGTTTAAAAAAATGTGTTCAGTGTGGTGTAAAAAAAGTAAACTTAAATTATATATATATATATATATATATATATATATATATTATTAATATATATTAATTTAAAAGATATTAAAAGTTTTAATGAATTTAATGAAATGTTTGCTCTTTGACCTCTATGCTTGATCTATACAGTCCAATTCCTACCTGTAAATAAACATCCTCCCAGTCTTGCTTTAGGCCAGTCCATGTCCCGGCACTGACAGCTTTCCTATCTAAGCAGTGTCTGATCTGTTCCTCCAGTTGTTTGTTGAGTTGTTCCAGAGCGTGAACTTTATCACGATACTCCAACAGGGACGTGTTAAGGCTGTCGAAGCCATACTGGTGGCCTCTATCCCAGGGCTGGGTCACTACAGGAACCGTGGTGCTTCTAAAGCCTTGCATAAACACGCTGCTGATGCCCAGTGCTCTGCGGGACACGCGTGCACCCAGGCTGCTGGTTCCTCCGGTGGGAGCCATGCCTACAAACACTCCCCGAGGCGCAGAGGTCCCTGTTGCGCTCATTCGGCCCACACCGCCGGGCCGCTCCGCGGCAGCCTGGCCCAGGAAGGAGGATCGACGTCGTGGCAGAGGCATTCCTGTCCTGATGCTTTTTAAGTGACAGACCACTATTAGTCCATAGACATGACCACAATGCAAGCGTAAATATCCACTGAACTCCCCTCAGCTAAACGGCAACAGCCACCAATGCATGCCTCTTTATGGTGGCCTGGCCTTCTGGAAAGCAGGCTCTTTGTTTTAATACTATTGTGATAGAGACCTGGTGATGCTGGTCAATGCTCTTTGTTCATCACCGCTAGGCAGTTTTCAGCTGTTTCAGCACAGTGGTCTTCTCAGGAAAGCTCTATGGACCAATCCAGGTCCCCCTCTCAGTATGTTTTCTGTTTGACAGTGCATGGGGAAACTAAACTTTCATCACAATGACCCAAGAGAGTAGGGCTATATGTGAATGTGGTAGGTAGGTTTAATAAACAAGAGTGGTAAAATAAGAAAAAAATAGAAAACAGAAATAGTTTCTTGCTTCACAAGATGATTTTGCATTTGATAATTTTTACCGCAACATCCTGTTTGCAGGTGGAAGATGTATCTGCCATCTGCAGCTGTCATCAAAACATAAGTCAGAAGAACTTTTTTTTCCCAGAAGAAAGTGATATTAATTTTTCTTTTTTAATCACAGACACTCAATGACCGATAATTCGCTCAACTAATTCTTTCAAAATATTGATTTATTCAGGAACGGTGTTTTACTGAATGAGTAATTGATTGAATCATTTATTTAATTTCAACCGTTTCGTTCTTACAGAAACACTGATTTACGCAGTAACATCATGCGTTGTGTTGCTGTCAGTGAGGTGGTTTCTTTTAGAGATGTTTGTTGACAGAGCAAATTAGACAAAGTATGTGATGACATTTCTAAAATGTAAGTTTCTCAGTATTAACTTCTTTACTTAACTTGTATAACAATATCACACGTGCAATCGCATTAAACATGGCAACTGTATGGCACACTATCTATCTATCTATCTATCTATCTATCTATCTATCTATCTATCTATCTATCTATCTATCTATCTATCTATCTATCTATCTATCTATCTATCTATCTATCTATCTATCTATCTATCTATCTATCTATCTATCTATCTATCTATCTATCTATCTATCTATCTATCTATCTATCTATCTATCTGTCTATCTGCCTGTCTGTCTGTCTGTCTGTCTGTCTGTTTTGTTTATGTAAAGACATTTATGTAAATTCAGGGTCTTATGGGACCCATACTGTATGAAACTGAAAATACATTTTAAAAGAAACACCAACATTTTAGTATGTAACCCTGATTCAACTTTGGTTTCGCAATTGTTTCTCAGAGCAAGACTCTCTTGCTCAAAGGGACCTTGCCCTTTTGAACCAATAAGTTACACCACATTCACTTCTACTTGTTATTTCTGCATTGTGAATAAATGTACAGTTATGTAAATCAAGAAGGATTAACCTAACCTATAAGTTTGTCTCTTACAATAAACCAGTATCAGAATAAATATTCAAAATATTCAAAAATAACCCTGCGGGAGAAGTACACACTTTAGACTGTTCTGGGATTCATAGAAACAAAAATTGTCACATTGTTTTCCACTGAACCACAGCCAATTCCTCTTCTGATCAGAATAACATGGTGGGATTTCCAACCCTTCCCTTTCCCATCATTTATCGTTGAAGGGATTTTATTATTGATATTCATGTCTGATTCTGCGTCTGGATCCAGGGATCATAATCTAGTATTGAATGAATTAATTTTTAACATTTTTTCACAATAATTGAGTTGTCATGGCCTTTCTCTTCATACGATAAAGGTTTCTGTTACATTAAATTTTAATTGCTCATAACATGAATCACAGATGTGGCAGCTGAGTGTAATGCCATGGGCATGCCTTGAATTTGCAACATGAGTGAAGGTATGCTTCACCTGCCTTCAGAACAGGCACAAACATATCGGTAGAGTCTACCCTTGAGCATAACACAGACTTTCAAGACTAAGCAGATTCCAAATTTTATTAATGTCACTGATACCAAGCACTGACCTTATGTAAGCGATCTGTGATAATAATTGCATAAAGGCTGGAGCTTACAAAATTCACAGAAAATTGCATAGCGTCAGAATGTGATTTCATCCATTGGATCAAACACGTTGTATATATTGAGCCAATTTTATAACACATTTTTTCAAGCATCTCCTAACGGTTCATGCTTCTGAGGGAGTTTGTTGTGTTCAGAAAACTGTGAAAGTCTGGTAATCTGTGGGTTCTAAAAATAAGCTTTGACTGGTAGCAATGTAAACTGAATACATTTAATGAAATATACAGGCAAGCAGCATGTATATCACTAATATTTTCTGAAAGGATGTTTTACCAGTGCCTGATTATTCATGGATGGCTCTTAAAAGCACAACATTGTATATTTGATTGTATATTTATTTGATCATTTTAATTGAATTATATTTAATTAATATTTAATCTGTTCCCTTTGAAACAACAGCTCATAATATTTGCTAATGACGAGTATTTAAGACTATGTAGTTTTCCCTATATATTTCTTAGTTTGATTTAGCTTTTATTTTTAGATTTTCAGTTTTCATTTTAATTTAAGTTAAAGTGTGAGCAATTTTCTTATGTGCTTTTGTCATTTTTATTAGTTTTTGTAAATATTTCTATTTCTATTTCTATTTATTTTAGTTTTAGTATACTTCAACTTAAGATTTCAAATTAAATTCTCATTTAATTTGTTAAAAATATATGAATTTTATAGCTTTATGTTATGTAATTAGCAAAAATGTATTTTAGTCATAAATCAGTAATGTAATTTTACTGTGATTAGTCTCATTAGGCGATTGGCTCAAAAAAATCTACAGTTCCAGCAAAGACAGCTAAAAGTTTGGGAAACCCGTTTGGAAACAGTCATTGTTTTGTATTTTAGTGTAGTGATTGTCCAACAGAGGCCATTTAGACATTCGTTTGGTGAGTTCTAAGGGTGATATATATATATATATAATATTATCTTTTAGCTTTCACTGCAAATACAGCATTTAGATTGAAGTCCCATCCTAGAAGGAAAATATGCCTGCAGGTGAGACTTTTTTGAGATTTATCAGACAACCGACGCCATACCACTGAGACAAGTTACAGCTTATTCTTTCTCAATAGACTGTCTCTTTTTGGACTGCCCTCCCTCCCTTAAGTGTATTTAAACTGCAAGCATTAGTCTCTCGCTCTGCCTGCACTCTCTGCTCATTTTAGACTCTGAGCCTTCAGCACTCATCCATAGATATTCACCATGGCTTTGTCCGTTTCCTTAGCCTCTTCCAGAATGTCTGGGGGATACGGAGGTCTTGGTGCAAGTCGTGGTGCAAGATTTGGCCTGGGGCTAGGAGGTGGTGCTGGCTTAGGTGGAGCTCTTGGCCTGGGAGGAGGACTGGGATTTGGAGCCGGTGGAGGTCTTGGCCTTGGTTTTGGCCTTGGTGGAGGTGCTGGAGGTGGTGCAGGATTGGCACTGGGAGGTGGAGGTGGTGGTGGTGCGCTGTTTGACAGTCCTGCATTTGCTATGGGTCGCGCCATTGCTGCAGGAGGGCTCGGTGCAGGCGCTGCACTCGCCTCCGGTCCAGCATCAGGCTCTGCCTTGGCACCAACACTTTCCAGAGCAGCCGAGAAGCACACACTCTCTGGGCTCAATGACCGCTTTTCCACATACATGGCCAAAGTACGGGCGCTACAGCATGAGAACGCAGCTCTGGAGGCCAAGCTGTCCCAGCTGACTGGGGGGACAGATGTGTCCCAAGAGTCATCCGTGACTGCCACGGTGGAGTATGAGGCCCAGCTGAGCGAGTATCGCAGCACATTGGAAACGCTCACCATCGACACTGTCAAACTGGAGATTGAGCTGGACAATATCCGTGGAACTGCCCACGAACTGAAGGCTAAGTGAGTGTTTCCTTTTTTCAATGGCATAGTTTTTTTTTTCTTTTTCTTAAAATATTCAAATTTGAAATATACAGAATATTGTCAATAAATAACATTTTTACTTAGGCTTGACTTTGAACAAGGAGTGAAGTTTCAGCTTGAGTCTGATATTGCTGCCATGAAAAAGGTGAGTTTTATCCAGTAACATGATATTCCAAAAAACGGTTATTGTTTTAATACGTTGTTTGTAGAGAAAATTTTGACCACAAATGGCTGTATCCCTTTTCAGGACATTGAATCTGCCTCTGACTTAAGAATTGATTTGGATGCCAAATTCTCCAGCCTGAAAAATGAGCTGGACTTTGTCAGCAAAACACAAGAGGAGGTACATTTCCGTCAATTAAAATCTGAAATCCATGCAATCAAGATAATGTGAAATTTTGCAAATATAAAAAAGCAAATATAGTTATATTATTTTATTGTTTTCAATGAAACAATTATCACTGAATGATCACCAAGACTAAATGTATTTGATCAAAACGGTAAAAACACTAATATGGTGAAATTTTGTAGCAATTTACTGTAAAATAACTGTTTGGGTTTAAATATGTTTTAATTGATTTATTATTAAGCTCAAGAAACATTTCTTATTGTTTTTTCTTAAACAATGCTGCTTACAATTTTTTTGTGGAACCCATGATACATTTTTTTCAGGATTCTTTTAATGAATAGAAAGTTTGAAAAAACATATATTTTTTTAATGTTTTGTAAAAATGTAAGAGACTATGGGATTTTTGATTAATTTAATTTCAATTTATTCATTTCTCTCTGTGCGTTATGTCTATCACTTTAGGAATTGTCATCTTTGCAATCTAAACTGGGCACAACAACAATGGACACTTCAGTCTCAATGATTGAAGTAGACACCGGGAAGTCCTTTGACATCTCTGTAGCACTCAATAAGATGCGAATGGAGTATGATAAATCTGTGCAGCAACACAGAGAGGAGGCTGAGGCTTATTACAAACTCAAGGTCTGCACACAAGAAGTGCTCACATTGTCTGAATGTTTCAATAATTTTGGCATTCCAACTAAAAGCTCTTATACTCTCTACTTATGAATCTAGATGGATGAGATGCAGGCGACCAATGTCAAAAACACAGAAGCTGTGTCATCGACCAAAGCAGAAATCACAGTAGCCAGGAAAGAGCTGCAGACACTGAATTTAGAGCTGCAAGGGCTTGTGGCTACGGTAAGACTTATTAAATAATGTTGGCCAAATCAAAGCACTTTTGACAGCAATGAAATTAAGTGCAATTTGATTAACTTAAGCACGGGGATGGTATTTTTGGGGCTGTTCAGGTGGTAAAGGACAAGGTGCTCAACAGTGGCAGGTCCCTTGAGAAACAATGTTCGTCAGCAGTGTGAAATGCTTCAGGGCAGGTTCTCAGCATATTATAAACATCTCTTGAATAAATCACAGCTGTCTGAGACAGGAAACAGATGACATAGGAAGTGGTTTATTGATCTCAGCCGTTTCGAATTGGCAGCAAAAGCCCCAATGCCACAAGCGAACATCTTACCCAGTTGCACTGCTGCAAAAGTGGCAGTTTCCCAAGCAACTAAGACAATTCAAGAGTTTCATGACATCATTTACAATAAATTCAATGTCTGAGAAGATGAGATATCATAGTGCTGAATAATTAGGTGTTTTTGGTTTACCGTATGGTAAAAGTACGGTAAAGACAATTCTATGAAAAGACAATGAAACGAGCATACCATGCGTATTACTAGATATTGGCTGTTTATTAGTACTTAATCTTATTCTGTATGACCATATTCTACATGTGTGTGTGTGTGTGTGTGGGGTGGGGGTCTTATTTGCACTCTTGATGTTTTAGAGTGTCACCCCTTCATACAAGGATTTTTTTTTTTTTTACGACACTTTAACAAATCAGAATCATCTCCTTGATTTTTTGTGTGTTCATATGGGTCATACAACAAAAGTCACAAAGTTTCACCCCTATCCGATGAAGCAAAAAACTTAAACAATTCAAAACGTAAAAGTCATTTTTGGACGAAGAAGCCCAGCTTGAGCATTTAAAGTGGCAGACAACAAAACTGCAGCAGGCACATAAACAACATGTTATCATCCGTTGGTGTGGATGCTTATAGTTATCATGTTTGTGAATAAGCTTTTAGTTTTTGAAACATAACATATCATGACAGCCATCTATGAATAAGAACATTTTTTGTGTGTGTGTGTGTGTGTTTATCTTTTCAGAACATGTCTCTGGAGCAGAGTTTAGCAGAAGCCCAGGCTCAGTCTAGTGTGGGTGTTGCTGAATATCAGGCACAGATTGCTAGCCTCACATCAGCCATAGAGTTGGCTAAAACAGACCTTCACAAACAGATCCTGGCCTACCAAGAGCTGCTGGACATCAAACTCGCCCTGGATGTTGAGATCTCCACCTACAGAAAGCTACTGGAAGGAGACGACTTCAAGTAAATATTGTCACAATCAGATGGCTATAGTTGACATTTAACATGGTCATGATTAATTCAATTCAACATCAGTGTGGCCGGTTGCATAAACATCTTAGACTACACTCTAAAAAATGCTGGGTTGTTTTAACCCAACTTTGGGTCAAATATGGACTAACCCAGCCGTTGGGTTAAATTTTTACATTACATTTTTAACCCAACATTTCAGGTTTGTCCATATTTGACCCAAAATTGGGTTAAAACAACCCAGCATTTTTTAGAGTGTAGTCTTAAAAGTTACCTCATTTTTTTCGCATAAAAATGTAGTTTGGTCTAATCTGAATCTGAGTGATTACCTCTTGTATAACTACAAGTTGGTCAAACTACTTATTAACTAGCACAGTCTTAACATAGAGGCCAAGTTTTTGAAACTGGGCCCCAGGATCTTACACTCTAAAAAATGCTGGGTTGTTTTAACCCAATTTTGGGTCAAATATGGCCAAACTCAAAGATTGGGTTAAAAATTGTCATTTAAATATGTAACCCAGTGGCTGGGTTTGTCCATATTTGACCCAAAATTGGGTTAAAACAACCCAGCATTTAAATGTACAGTATGTGCAGATCAAGGATCAAGATCAGTATGTGCAGATCACCACCATATTCACTTTTTTGCCTTCATAGTTTATTTTAATGTGATGGTCTGTGGTATTACCTTTTCGAAATACACATACAGTATTCAGTGTAGTTTCTTGATTGTTATAAAATAAATAAATTGGAAAGTGTTAGGATTAGACAGGACAATTATAAAACTAGTATGTCAAGTCAACCTTTATATTGCATTGTTTGCTACATTTTCTTTCTTTCTTTCTTTCTTTCTTTTTTTTTCATTTGTACTTTTTGACTTTCAGGATGCCTGAGTTCACAGAGTCATCATACACTTTTTCAGGTGAGAGCTGCTTTAGTTTCAATATCTTTGAGTAGATGGATACCAAAAGTTTATGTAAGTTTAATAAACCGAAAGGACCCACTGCAACAATGGTATCAGATGCATTGGAAACAGTCATCAGGGAGTTTCATGGGTACCTTGGAAAGCTTCTGTGGTCAGGCAGTTGAACCTTATTGAGTGTTTGCTTGGTGACTGTTAACAAACCGTTATAGTTATTTTGCATGACTGCTCAAACCAACAGAATGTTAGTACACATATGAGTTTGAATTTGATGATGAAGATTAGATGACACACAATTATCTCCTTGCCATCTGAGATAAGAGAGAGATAGATTTCAAAGTTTCAAAATTCTGTCATCCTTTACACACCCTGATGTCATTCCAAACCCCTATGTCGTTTTCCTTTTTCTCTTCTGTGTAATAGTAAAATTTCCATTTGGTATTCACTGATAATCTTCCCCTTCAATGAGCTGTTAAAGGAGTAGTTCACTTTTAAAAAAAAACTTTTGCTGATATTTTACTCACCCCCATGTCATCCAAGATGTCCACGACTTTCTTTCTTCAGTTGAAAAGAAATTAAGGTTTTTGATGAAAACTTTCCAGGATTTTGTCCATATAATAGACTTCATTGAGAACCAAACGGTTCAAGGTCCAAATGAGAGTTTCAGTGCAGCTTCAAATGGCTTTTGGACCTTGAACCGTTTGGTTCCCAATGAAAACGAGGGGTGTCTGTTTTGTCTGTTTTTGTGACTAACGTTTCTTTACTATAACCATGGAGTATAAAATTCAATATAAATTCTCGGTATTGCACTGGACTCTACGATCGGCAGCGGAAGTTATCGAACATCCTTAAACCTTCACCGGAAATACCGCCGCGCATAGAGCCCATTGGCGGAATTAAAATTTTTTGGTTAACTATCCTTACTATTAAACACCCCTACAGCAACGCAAATTGTCGTTGATGTCACAAAGCGGATAGGATGATCATTATGTTTTCACTTTTCATGCACATTATGAAGGGACGCATGTTGTTGACTTATGGCTTTCACTTGTTCAGCAAGTGGAATTATGAGGAGAACAGCGTATTCATCCATAACATTTAGATACATTGTAAATAGTTCTGATGATAGGCATTTTTATTGACAAGAAAAGTCCAGGGGCATGGGGAGGGGGGGCGCTTTCTCATCTGCGCTTTTCCATCCTGTAGGGAGGGCTTTGCCCCACACCAGCACCCCCCTGGACTCCCCCCATAACCCTGCCCCAAAGGACATACAAACTAGATACATCCTGACAGGCAAGTTTTACTCTAACATGCAAAGGCAGTGTAGGACAGAAACTGCTTCGGGTTTATGAATGTTGACAAATACTTCAGCCAATTAATAGTGCTCATCCCTTTGTCCCCTTCTCTCTCTGTTTATTAATGTGTGTGTCTTTATTCCATTGTCCTTTTTTCTACCAACAGCTGGTCAAATAAAAGTCAAAGAAATCATTACAGGTATGTTCGCAATCATTTCCACTGTTGGATTTGAAGTCAACTTTTATTTGTGCTGTCCATTGCATTCGCCATGTGACTTTACTATTTTTACCGGTCATCAACAAGACCAGCATGTGACTTTCCTCATCTTTCTTACACAGAGACATCCATCATCTCTGATGCAGATGACACTGAATCCTCTTGAATTCAGCGAGGACCTTCAGTCAATGCAGTCTTGATGAATGCAGACCCTTGGCCCAGACCCCGGAGTCCCATTCGCTGTTTCTTAAATAAAGCTGCATTTATGATTAGATCTAGGCTATGTTTCATTTATCATATATGATATTTGATATTTGACAATATCAAACTTGAACAAGTAAAGCTATATGAAATACAACAAAAGCACCATCATTTACATTACTGAGTCAAATCCATAGTACAGGGACTCAAATTGGTTGGTAATGCTATTGAAAAACAGCAAAAAGAGAGTAGCCTAATGCTTTCAGTGAGTTACAACCCAAAAGTACATGGAATTGCACAATAGATTTTCTTTAGCTCTAAAACACAACACAATGTAGGCTAAACAAACACCTGTGAAGATTCAATCCGGAAAAAATCCCTTATATTAACAAAGTACATTGGATAGCACCAGAGAGAAGTCTGTTATTTTCATTGGAAAGTCCACTTGTAACCTTTTGATTAAATATTATGAATTTAAAAAAAGGGGAAAAAATAATCATACACAGATTAATTGTTCACAATAAGATCTAGGCCTATTGCATGCATTTAGAGAATAGATTTGGTGATATTTTTCATGTCGATTTAATGCTTCAAAATCAACTATACTCTTATCTACTTTAGACACAATGCTCTCAGTCCCTCATAATCTTTTATGGTTTCTTTCAGAAGGTTGTTGTTGTTAGAGGATGTCATGCTGCTCTGACGAAAAATTGAGGAAGTCACGCTTTGTGATATCACACTCATGTCATTTGTTTTTCTCACTTTTTTTTGGTTTAATTTTTCACTTTACCACTGTGATACCACAGGGCTCATGACTCTATTCAAAACATCATGTGACTGTGAAGGGTTTAATGGAAACATGGGCACTCAAACAAACAAAAACAAATAGATGTACACCTCACCTCAGCTCAGCCTTACTTTAGAGCATAGAGTTAACCAAAAGAGTGAGTGACTAAAACTAAACAAGCATTGCAGCTACAGATTAGCATCCAGCTAACAACCTGAAATCTTTCTAGCTTCATCTCATAATAGTATTAAAAAATCATTTTTTGTTTTCTGCAAAGTGATTTCATAAACCCTCCACACTCAGAGTAACAGTTTTGTGGGGGTGTATGAGATGCATTATCTGTGCTTTGTTCCTCTATATAACCTTGTGGTCTTAGCATGTCGTGCAAATGTTCACCGCAGAATGTTCTCAGTAGTACTAAATGACATTCGTCCCCATCTCTCAGTGTCAAAACAGTTGCTAGGTTATGCAGGTTTGTCATGCGATTTGACGTATGGAGGGCCACCACCTAAATCAACTTTCACATCAGTTTGCACTGATTTAAAACAAGACGTGCATTGCATCAGCTTATTGCTACTTAAACTTGCGACCGATAACTTATAACAGTCCTCAGTTTAGTGAAATACCTACAGATTAGAAATCAGCAAAAGTTTAGCTCTTTTTATAGCAGTGTTAACACTGAAAGGGTTTTGGAGTCAGTCTAACATGAATCACATGCTACCTCCTCAATGTTTTTTTTTTTTTTTTTTTTTTTTTTTTTTACAGTCGATGGTTTTAACAAGGGCTCAAACCATAGCTTGAGCAAGGCCTAAAATTAAAAGGATTAAAAGTGCATGTGTGTGTGCATGAGTTTTTTTTTTTGACCTGATCACTGAAAAGAAAGAGGAACAGTTTATGGTTGGCGTGCGTAAATGCCACATATGGAGGCCACAAGGTATAATTATAGACACAGAGCACAAACGTCTATGACCTCTTGCTCTTGTGATGTAGACATTCTCTCTAAAAAAATATTGTGCAAAAAGTTTGTAACTGGGGTAAAACAGCTTGTAACTGTAAGCGATAGTTCATTTTGAAATTAATTTTTTTTTTAAATATGTTTTAGCTTACCTCAAGGGCATCCAAGATGTATAATTCTTTGTTTCCACAGCATTTTCAATTTTGATATTTTTCGGTCAAACCATTCTTGTCTGTCAGTCATATAATGGAGGTTTATGCGGTCCACCTCAATGAGCATGCACAGAGAAGTCCAAATTAAAAATGATTGAATGACTTGTAAATGTAAGTACACATTGATGGCCTAAGACACGAAACGAGCGGTTTGTGTGAGAAATCGAACAGTATTCATATTTTGAATGACCGAAGTGCCCGTGCCTTCAGATCACTTGGACGTGGCTGTGGTTACAAGACGTAAAAACGATATAAATACTGTTCGTTTTCTCACACAAACCGCTCGTTTTGTGTCTTAGGCCATCAATGTGTACTTACATTTATGAGTCATTAAATCATGTTTAATTTGGACTTCTCTGTGCATGCTCTTTGAGGTGGACCCCATAGACCTCCATTATATGACTGACAGACAACAACGGTTTGACCGAAAAATATCAAAATTGAAAATACTGCGGAAACAAAGACACCTACATCTCGGATGCCCTTGAGGTAAGCTGAAACATATCAAAAATGCATTTCAAAGTGAACTACCCCTTTAAAAGGACATCTTTGTACCTTTTTGTTTTACCCATTTAAGGTGCATATTATTACCTTAGAAATGCTACATAAAAGTTGTCTTTTTAATGGGACTGCCCCAGTGACAAGCTGAAGGTATAATTTGTACACATTTTGTTGTTGAGTGTTGTTTGCATTTTAAATGAATATATCCAACACATTTTCTCACAGAAATAGTTTATACCCAACACAGAACATGTTTTTGATCTTATCACTGGCAATCATGTATGGAAATGAGAGATAAGAGTTCGTAAATTGAGCAATCATTGCATTCAGCAATGGCGACAGCAGATCCAAGATAACCCAAAACTACTTTTTTTGAGAAGTCGTCCAACAGCATGACCTAAAAACTATCTTTCATATAAGCATCACAGATGTTTATTACCTTGCTCTGTTATATATGAAATAAAATATTTTATATTTATATTTATATTTACTCTAAGGGAGAACATGCAGTTGTGTCTGACCTGTGAGTAAGAGGAAATTTGTCCTTTGAAACAGGATATGGCATAAAAAAATGAATGTAATTAGTGTCTGGGGTGACAGTTTTAATGATAAACAGGATGTCTGGGTCACGAAGATTCACACCCAAGTAAGGATTGCATGTAAAAAGATGCAAATGAAAGCTTATTTATGATAAAACGTTAAATCCATGCATAACCAGTATCAGAAGTATTGACGTATCATCTGTATTGCGTAAATTGTTGGTAAAGAGGTTGCTGTGTATGCAATTGCTCTAATTCATCAACTAACGAATGATTAGTGTTTTACTTGCGCGGATAAAAATCAGGATCATGTCATGTCATCAATGTGACTGAACACAGTGACAAACAAACCTTAGAAAACAATGAAAAAAGATGAAAGATGAAAAACATCCAGATGCTTCCTTGTTTTCATGGCAATCATGACATTACACAAGTGAGTTGAAAACAAGAGTTCAGTGTATGCAAAATCCCCCAAGAAAAATGGAAATGAAGATGTCAAGATGTATAAAAATGATCGATCCGAAGTGTCAACTTTCTTCCCTGGATGTCCAGTATACATATGGCATGTATAAGGCAAGGCAATCGCTCTTCATTCACGGTCAGAAAAGTTGGTTAAGGTGTTGGTTGAGACGCATGACTGCAAAACACATTTTAGTCCTTTGCATGCAATAATGTTGCAACACAGATAACATTGCATGATGGAGTAGTGCTATTGGGGAGCATTTTTACATACTGAGTAAACAAGTGCAGACGTATTTTAAAGTGTGTCCAAAAATGATCCAATAAAAACAAAACAGTTTTCTCTTTAATGTTGCACTATGTATAAAATGGGCTAAAAAAAAAAAAAAAAAAAAAAAATAGGACGTTGTACGTGACTCTGTGGCATGACTCTAAGAGAGAGAAAAAAGTGTGAAGAGTTCCTTCTTGTGCGTCACTGTGGTTAAACCTCAGACCTTAAAAGCTTCTGCAAAACAGACGTTTCCCAGACGGCGCCAAAACAACGTGAAAGTGATCATAGTGATCGGGAAGGCAGCAGACAGCAGTTCATCTCTAATACCAGTCCCCTTTTTCTCTAAGATAGTAAAGTAAGTATCAATAGAGTTTTTAGAGTATGTAAAGGATTTAATTATTACCAAATTATTCATAATGATATGCACTCGTTTATCGGTTGTGGATATTTGCGAATCTAATATTTAGTGAATCTGAGTTTTTTTTATATATTTAATTTTTAAAAGTTTTTTTTTTTACTCATTCAAGAACAGAGAACAACGATGAACATAACCGAGGTTGTGACGGCATTCACTGAGAATATGACGTCAGAATATGTAAGTGAATATTTGCATTAAGTGCATGCTGATAACTCTATGTTTGTCTGAAACTTTAACATAAAGTGATGTTTAAATGCACATTATCAGGGTTAATAAACTAAAGGCTGAGTAAGACACATGCTTTGCTATATTTCACAGGATTATGGAGAATCTTCCACAACTTTGGGTGAATATGAGGATGTGTCAGTGTGTGACAGATCAGCAGTGCGACAGTTTCGAAGCTACTATGAACCTGCTTTCTATTGGATAATTGTCATTCTGGGAGCCATTGGCAACTTTCTGGTGGTCTGGATATACACACACTTCGCAAACCGCTTGAAGGCTATGACGGACGTTTATCTACTGAACCTGGCTCTGGCTGATATGTTCTTCCTCTGCACTCTGCCCTTCTGGGCCGCCGATTCCATCTACGGCTGGACCTTTGGCTTGGCTCTCTGCAAAATCGTCTCTGCCGTTTACAAAATCAACTTCTTCAGCAGCATGTTCTTACTTACCTGCATCAGCGTCGACCGCTACATTGTGATCGTCCAGACTACCAAGGCTCAAAACTCCAAGAGGGTCCGTCTCTTGTACAGCAAGCTCATTTGTGTGTTAGTCTGGATCCTGGCGGCCTTGTTGTCCATTCCAGAGTTTCTCTTCGCCCAATCGAAAGAAGATGGCGATGGCAATCACTTTTGCACCATGGTCTACTCGAACAATGAAAACAACCGTACTAAAATACTGGTCCTGGTTCTCCAGATCTGCATGGGCTTCTGCATCCCTCTCATAGTGATGATCTTCTGCTATACCAACATCATCCGCACCTTGCTCAAGACGAGAAACTTCCAGAAGCACAAGGCCCTGCGGGTCATCATGGCAGTCGTGGCGGTGTTCGTTATCTCTCAGCTCCCGTACAATGGCATGTTGGTCTTGGAAGCCACTCAGGCAGCCAATATGACAATTACAAACTGCGAAGAGGTCCAGCGCTTTGACATCACCGGACAAGTTCTGAAGAGTCTCGCCTACATGCACAGCTGCCTAAACCCGTTCCTATACGTCTTCGTCGGAGTGCGTTTCCGAAAAGATGTGATTCGAATTTTCTACAGTCTTGGCTGTCGTTCAACCGTGAAGAACTCCAAGGGGTTGTTGGGAAGCCATCCCCGCCCATCTGTCATGTCGGACACAGAGACCACCAATGCGCTGTCATTGTGAGCAGGGTCAGATCACTATCAGTGATGCTTGCTTAGCAAAACCTTCTGTTTTGCTGCAGGTGCTTGGCACCTGAGTTTCAAAACAGAAGTTCGAGGTTCAGTAAGAGCTCTTTGCATGCTTGAAAACAGGCTGTCTGGCGGAGGGCTAAAGTAACCTGCTCACCACAATGAGATGGCTGCAACTTTGAATATTGGATAACAAGAGTTCTCTCTGTTTGACTGGGCCTTTAAAATGAAAGTCAAATCCTGATCAAATACATGTGTACTGTATGAACAGAAAAACAGTGTTGCGGCAGGGACTGATTTGCCCACTTAACTGTTAGAATATTTTCCATCTATTTTTCAGCATTAATTGTCCCAGTTTATCAAATGTTGTAACCTGATTTGTCATGTATGTATGAGATTTGTAAGAGCACATGAATGAGCACTGAAAAGTGTTTTTATCTGTCAAAAAAATGTTTATGAATGTTATTTTATGATGCTATTTTGTTTTATTTCATTTTAATTGCTGCAAAAGTATAACTGTGAATTTTTCTTCAAGATTTAAAGCCAGTTTTGTACAGTCTGGGTTTTGTATCTGTATTGTTTTCATTTTACACCAAACATAATGTGTATAAATATTTGCTGCTCATTTTGTAAAATTTCAAAGAGTATATGCCAATAAACCTTAATAAGACTGAAGACTATTTTTTATTGTATCTTATTCCCTTTCTCTTATACAAACACATATGTTTAAAGATGTTTTCTCCATCATATATCACTGGGGAAGTATACCATCAGAATTTATATATATATATATATATATATATATATATATATATATATATATAACTTTAGGGCTAGAACAGTTTATCACTGGGGCAGTTTCCACAAAATGCACCTTTTATGGGTAAATAAGGTGCAATATTTGCACACAAGCATTCTATTAATATAGACATGAGAGTATCTAAGATGTTTTAATTGTGATGCTCGAATCTGGCAGATTGCCACAAGCGCGTACTCTGTCACGAACCGTTAACTGTGACGTGCATCATCTGTCTGGTTTACTCAATGTGGTCTTGTGGGGAGACAGATACACTCACTAGAAAACAGACACGTGCTTGCACCCACACACCCACACACAAACCTCACCTAAGCATTTCAAAAATCAACACACAATGCACTCAAAAAGTACCTTGAATTCAACAGGATGGGCCAAAAAAAATCACATAAATTTCCATTTTCCACATAGACCTGTCTGTTTATTAAAATGAAAACTGATTCAAAATGGGATTTTCTGTAACTTTCACAGTGTTTAAAAATTATTTCAAAAACAAACAAAAAATTCCCACCCATGTCTACTAATTAAATAAAAAAATTAAATTGGATAATAATATAGGCTAGTCATAGGAAGTGCTTTTTATTGTGATTAAAAAGGAATCATTGCAGTACATGCTCAAGATAAAAATCTGTTTCTCTGCTCTAATATATTAGTGATGTGCAGATGATGAGGTCAAATAACCACACAGTACAAGCACACCTCTGTCTCTGCAGAGTTTAGACAGGAAGTGGCAGACAAGCCAGCCAACGTGACAGGCGCTGGCTGTCAATCAACACTGAATGAGGTTAAATAGGCTAATATATATATATATATATATATATATATATATATATATATATATATATACATTAGCCTATTTAACCTCATTGTTTTAATATTGTATGTGTTTATATATATATATATATATATAACACATATAATAAAAACTCTCATGACTAAAAACTCTCATGACTCTCTTACTCTCATGTCTATATAATAGAATGCATTATTGTTTATTTAAATATTTTGTTCAGATGATCGTTTGTTTTTGTCTTTATGACACCCCCTAGTGGACATGAACATTTTTTCCATTTTGGAACAGATGTTCAAAATTAAAGTTAAAAAGGGAAATTTAATTTAAATATAAGAAATATAAGAAATGCCGCGGCATCTTTACTCAGAAAAAGCGGGACATTACCTGAAGCGGAATACAAAATCATGTCCTACATTTAAACAGAATTTTTAATGCCTATCTGGATGAAATTATTCATCCAGAATTATTATAAATCCAAATTATTCATATAATTTCAATAGACTAAATTATTATTAGCCTATTGAAATTATAGCCTATTTCAATATTCCTATGAAATATCATAATAGGTATTATTAGTCATGTCTCCAAAATCACTGATAAACATTATTTAAGTCCTGGTGTCCTCTTTAGTGGACACGTAGCCTATAAAATCCATGTCCAGTTTCGTAACAGAAAGTCATATTTTAATAACCCCATAACATTTTCCTGAGATGTTGATTAATTTAAAAATTAGCCAGATTTACCAAATATCCAAATATTATAATGTTTCCGCGAGAGTGTTAAATTTGATCACTAAATGAATGTCAGTTACTTTTAAAGAACAAGGAGAGGCAGTTTTCGGTGAAACTCCCAAACATTTGGTATCTCTGAAAAGCCCTGCGTGCTCTTTACCCTATAGCCTGTGGTGTGAGAGAAATTGACTAAATTATAATGTCCACTAACGAGGACAATAAGGGTCCCAGGAGGATATGAAAAATAAAGTTAGTATGAAACAATCTTAATATAATATTTAAATAGAAGAAGACGTAAAAACCAATCACATTTCAGTATGCAAAAATTGGCGTGACATCATGAATCATGATTACCTGCCAAGTGTTCCGAAAGTATCAGTGCAGTGGTGTACTTTCTGGTTTCTTGAAAACATAAACAGAAACTATCTTCAAATCCAGTTTGAATGGTTTCTTCGTGGAGCATAATCTTTACTTTTTGTGTAACCGGCCAGTCCAGAGCAGGTTTCGGGAAACTCGCACATCACTTGGAGGTGAGAGCACGTCTACGGTACACGTTTCATAATTGCAGACTTGAAGGGTTGTTTTATCCGGACAACTTGTCTAATCTGTGCTTCTTCGTCGGAATTAAAATAAGTTTATTCTTATATTGGACCCAAAAGAAAGAAAACCTTTGTGGAGCTTATCGTGTAGTCATCAATTGGGGTGTTGCAAATATCTTGTTTTTGTTTCAAACTTCACTAGCAACAAAAATGGCAATTATTGATTAACAAATATCTCTGCAAGGTAAATATTTTCATATTACATATTACTACGGTGTCCAGAGAGGTAACTTTAGAAGATATATCCTTTTTCAATTGACACTCTTGTCTGAATATTCTGTGTTCACAGGACGTCTACATTACTGTTAGTACATCAACTGGAAAGTCTGCACATGTCTGTGGTAGTGAACGCACAACAGGTATCATGATAGTGTTTCTGCAGCTTATGAAGTTACATGAGCTGCCAGTTGAAACATGAGCATTATTGTTTATAGCATTTTTGAAACAAAATATCTAGATTATGCATACAGTGGCACCAAAATGTATTTAAAATATGTGGACACTTAAGCCACACTTAAACATGCCTGAATAGCAAACAAAGTGGCATTTCATTTTATTTTTTTAACAAAAAATAAATAAAACAATAATAAATAAAAGAAGAAGAATATTTCACAAAAATAAGGCATTTCTTTCATTTTTAAATTATAAAACAATAGAAATATTGTTCAAAATGAATAACAAAAAAAAAAAAAAAAAAAAAAAAAAATGTCTGGACACTTTATGGTTGTCAAGCTTTAGTGGAAGATGAGGATAGTTAATGTGACGTTTGCCATCAATTAAAATAGGCCTATACCAGAGACCAACTGGTTAAAAATGCTTAATAAAAGTGAAGTTAGTTTTAAAGTTTTGAGACATTCAGTAACAATTATATTTGTAAATAATTTGTATGTAAATAATTCAAAGTATAACTTTTGGCCATCTGGATAGATAGTATATCAGGGACAAAAGCATGTTTTGGAAGAAGCATCAAATGTGTATTGACTATTTAAATTGAGTTAATTTTAAAGAAAATACTTATATAGTGGACCCTTTTAAAAGCTTAACTTGTCTGACTGCTCAATTTCCACTTTAAGTCATTGTATATTTCAATGAAAATCACTAATTTTATTTTGCAGGTATCTTTAACAGCCTGCATTTCTAATGACTGTAGGGCACAGGAACCAACCACCTGTTGCAGCCAAACAAAATCATCCCAGGTGTAAGTAGATACTGGCCCATCTGGTATTGCCAGCCATAGTCAAGTATATTTTTATAGCATTTTTCACAATATAGATTGCATCAAAGCAGCTACACAGTATCAATCAAAACATAATAACAATTTTGATTTCTTAGTGGAAAAACATCCACGTTTGGTAGAGCTGATCACGGGTTTTACTGATAAATTAATTAATTAATTTGAATATCTCAGAAGAATATACTCTTCTGAGTGTTTTGGAAAATCAATCGGTTCAGTAATTTGCAATTACCCTGGCACTGGCAGTATTAAATAGAATAGATTCTCTATTACCTACAGATATGTTTAACACTTTGCATTTAAAATCTATGTCTAAGTAAAATAAATATATTAGAAATGTAGATCAGGACTTGGCACATATGCTTGCTGTGTTTGCCAGGAATCTTAACCTTTTGTTGAACTGAATGTTGCTTTGTTTCATGCTGCAACACTAGACTTCTCACATTTTGCCAACCTGGAATTGATACTCCATGTGACAATGCTCGGATATCAATTGAAGAGGTTAAATGGCATCTCGAGAAATATTTATTTTACAATTGCATTTGTACATATTATTTTCTTCAGCTTGAAGCAACATCATAAAACACAGTTAAAAATGCTGTCACACAGATGGCAGAGGCTTGGTCTTCAGCCTCCAATCCTCTGGGACCCACAAGAACACATTTCTGAACATAGCCCTGAGGGAGAAACCAGACCAGCACTGGAAATTCACCCCATACAGGTCAGCTGCATTGTATCTCCAAGGGACGAAGGACCAGATGGGATCAAGATAATCAGCGATTCCCACTGTAGGAGTTGCGGTAATGAATCTCTTGTGGCAAATGCATCAAAACAACCCTGCAGCCAGGTGTCAGTTGAGTCTGAAAACAGTGACCTCTCTGATCAAGAGAAAGGCAATATCGCTGTACTAAAATGGGAAACTCCAGTAGAATTGGACCTGAGGCCGGACTCATTTGATAGAGATCTAGAATCTACAGAGACTGGAGAAGGAGTACAAGTGTATCCTGAGGTTCTCCCATTTCCCCTCAATGATCTTGACTTTAGTCAGTTGCTATCCAGAGCGGATGATTTGGAGAGCCAGCACGTTTGTTTAACCGACCCTTGTCTTGCAGCTATGGCGGCTCGCATGATAAAGATGGAGAAACTTCAGACTGCGACTATACAGAAAGAACAAGGAAAGGCAGTCAGATCTCGTCCAGCAACTGCTTTGGTACGAAGCGACAATCGTCTGAGACAGACGGAAAGCACTTGTTCTCAGGCAGAACACTTGAGGACTAAAGGCAGTAATTCAATTTTAAAAGAAGTAACAAAACTCACACTTTCTTCAAGCTCGCATTTAAAGTCAATGCATCGTAATCGTCCCTCGCCAAATGCTGGGAACGTGTGGATTAGATTTCAGCAACCACCGGCTTTACCCAAGAAGCCACACTCTGGTGCGGTCAAATTAAAGAAGACCGAAGCCCTTGTTCATGATCGTAATGTTCATTCGAGTATGTCACCAAAATGCAATAGTCCAAATAGCTTTAAGAGATGCAAACCCACAAAGAAAGGCATACCAAAGCCTCAGAAGACTTCCTCTGAATAGTCTAGTGTTCCTGTTAAAGCTCCTTGTTGGAAGACATGATATAATTATCTTGAAAGGGTTTTAAGCTTGACGATTGACAGTGTGTTATTAACTGTGCATATCACTGTATTTATTGTTCAAAATTCAATACAAGTTAAGCTCCATCAACAACATTTGTGGCATGCTGTCAGTTACCACAGAAAAATAACCTTGCATTTACAAAAAAAAAAAAAAAAAAACAGAGCTAACTACTACAGTAAGGTCAATATATAAAAATGCTACATAAAATTTAATTGAAACTAGACAAGCCATTTTAAAATTCACTGTTTATTAACATTCAGACATGTTTCTATAAAATATGCAATATTGGCTATATAATGTGACAAAATGAACACATTGTTTGGCTGTGTAGATCATTTCCCCCAAGAGTGGATGAGGAGGCACTTCAATAATAGAGTAGGAAAGCAGCTGGCCATCAGGATCTTTCACACACTTGGAGTCTCATTGACAGTAGGGAAAACTTTAACACTTACCCTGAAAATAGAATTAAAAATGGTTAGTTATGGTTTAAAGTAAAGGTCACTTTTGTAGGTGACAAGCAAACATGTATTTCATAAAAAAGAAAAGCATTACCTTTTGGTTGAAAAATTTAGAATGTATTTACCAAATTGAAACTTATGTTCGTTGGGCCAATAATTTAATTTGTGAGGAATATGTACACATTCTCAATAATATATATATATATATACACTCAAATATAAAATGCTTATAACTTGCAAATGTAGATATAAAAGTGTTATGTACTGCATAAATACATTTGGATGTTGCCAAATGATTTGACAAAAAGAACAACAGTATCTATAACTTTGCCAAATTGTTTAAAGGCTAATACTGTAGTCAACTTAAAATCAACAGCTTAATTCTCATTAAGAGCTCTCGCTAAAACAGAAACCTTTTTCCAGATGAGATTTCCTTAAAGAGTCTTCTTTATCAGACAGCACCTACAATACAGAGAATAAATATAGCAGTATCTAGGGACATTACAGAAAGCACACGTTCTTGAAATATCCTGTGGAAATACACAATTATCACCTGACACAAAAAAATTCCAGGAACAAACCTCTTTGGTTCACACCAAACTAAAGTGAATGCAGTGATCAGACCAATAATAATGCTGGCAGATAGAATTGACAAAAGCACAGAAAAAATGTGTTATAAAATGTGATTTTATTTTAGGGCTGTCAAAATTAACTTGGAATAATTGGAGTAAACTTGAGTAATTACTAGTGGATGTACAGTATGTATAAAATAAATACAGTGATGTGAAAAATAAAGTACACCCTTTTGAATTCCAAGGTCTTAAAATTTGGTAAATACAACCTCAGATTAACAACAACAAATATTCCACCATGTCATGGTTTATTTAACAAAAACTAAGCCAAAATGGAGCCATGTGTGACAAATAAGTGCACCCTTACTGCTTTCATAGGTATTAAGAGGGTAAAGTAGCAGTCAGGCACTGCTAATCAGATGTCTTTGATTAATTGAATTCACCCCAAGGTCAGAACGTGCATGCAACAGGACAATGATACCAAGGACTCCAGGAAATCTACAACGTAATGGATAAAAAAAAAAAGGTGTTATACCGGCCAAGACCTCAACCCAACTGAAATGCTGTGGCGGGACCAGAGAGCTCAAACCTCAATGAACTGAAGCAACGTTGTAAAGAAGAATGGGCCAAAATTCCTCCACAATGAAATTACTACAAGTTATTACTTCTAAAGGTGGTCCTACAAGCAATTAAATCATAGGTGTACTTAGTTTGTCACGCATGGCTTCACCTTTTTGGTTTAATTTTTGTTAAATAAATAATGACACGGTGTAATATGTCGTTTAGGACACACACAGGTGATTTTATGACCGGCTAATGACCAGACGATTATTTATGTCTTGATACGTAAAACCATAGAATTCAAACGGGTGTACTTTATTTTTCACCGGACTGTATAGTTAGTTCATTATAACATCACATTTCATTTCACATGCAATATACAAGGGTTTTATTACATGAAAATATATACTGTAGCTGCCTCTATATTTTAGAAAGGGGCCCTCTTCTTATCAAATTTATGGTCCTTGACATAAATGTACAGATCTACAGCTCAAGCCAAAGAAGGATTTTATAAAAATATTAATAAAAAAGAGATGTTTAGTGATGCTACATATGAGATGGGATCATAAATCCCGTACGCATCAGCTCTCAACTAGATGTTCTAATCGGAGCTTTGCTTTGTGTTGGATCTAAACATGCCTTTAGGAATGACCTGGATAAAGGGCCTTGAAGAGGTCTCGTCCCTTTGAAAGCAGAGGCAGGCAGGAGGATGATGGACAGACGTGTCTCCATTGGCCAGAGAATATACTCGAACACAAAGAAACAATGGGAGAAATAGCACAAACAGCAGTTAGTGTCGATGAAACAAAACCCGCCGTAAGCTTCCTAAGACGCTGAATTATGTTCTTACAGTGATAAGATTAACTTGAAAGACAGACAACTTGTGGAAAGTATAAATTTGTGTTTTTTTGCTCCACAAAACATCTTTATTTTATGTTGTTTAATGACAAATAATGTGAATTTACAATAAATTCATATTATTCCATTTTCATGCAGGACAGACTTTGCAAAAGAGAACAGGTCATTCTTCCAACATGAACTATACTTCATGACCGGTGTATCTTAAAGGAATTGAGATATGAATAAAGAAGCAATTACCGCTTGTAACAAGCAGATTCATAGATCAGAGCAGGAAAACCCCTGTATCAAAAGACAACATGGTCACAAACATAAGAAGAGTCACAGAAAAAGACATCTAAATTGTCTAGACATAGCGAAAAACACACCAGAGGGTTTGTACAGTAGTGCATTGGAAACCATACAGATTCTCATGCATATTGAAAAGCACTCAATAGGTTATACAAAAACTATGACAAGTGTGACAACTCTGAAAAAGGTGAGGTATGTCTATCGGAGGCAGTACACTGAAGGTGCTTGGTCCATTGCAAATACTTGGATTCACTCTTACCCTCAATGTCAACCATAAATGGTGCCGACCATTTGAGAGACAGCAACGGTCAGTCTTTTCATTCATTCTGACTGTTTTGTCTCTGTGAGAAACCACAACAGAAGCTCTGTTTCAAAACCTTGTGAGCTACCTCACTGTCTATTTGTCCTCACTGTTTTTACCTTTTTAACTTGCAATAGTTTGGGGTCAGTAATTTTCTTTTTCAGCAATCTTTTTGTTCAGCAAGTATGCTTCCAACTGATCAAAAGTGAGAGTTGAGACATTTATAAAGTTCTGAAATATTTAGATTTCCAATAAATGCTGTTCTTTTGAACTTTATATTAATCAAGAATCTAGAAAAAACAATATTAAGCAGCACAATCGCTTTTTATTTAAAATTATAGTATTTCACAAAATTACAGCTTTTAACTATTTTTTAATCAAATGAATGCTTGAATGCTTATTTAAAAAAACAAAAACAAATTTATTCCCACCACAAACATTTGAATAGTAATAAATTGCATATCTACGATGCCTCACTAGGCTTTGGAACAGAGCAACAGGGAGACAAAAGATTTTAATAGGCATCCAAATGACAGGCCGCCAAAAGGGCCTGATGACGCTTTATTTTGGGTTTGAAAAGAACGCAAAATGATGCCGTTAGCTTACCTTCAGTGTACCAATAGAGGTGTACAACCTGCCTTAACAGAGGAGGCTTTCCCTGCAGACCAGGTCAAGCAGGACCCAAGACCTCAGATTCAGCAGAAACACACCTAGGGCAAGGGGCATGCCGTGGGCCTGCACGCCAGGTTGCGTTCTCACTCTCACACCTAAGGGAGGGTGGATATAGACAGCATTTATGCTGGCCTGAATCATGTCACACTCTAAACAGTCCTTGGTGGTTGAGTAATATTTGGTTTACATCAAATTCTAGAATTATACAAAATATAAGGTGTGCAAACGTAGCACAAAGTTGGATATTCTTACATTCTGAACCTTGATCGTAATATCAAATATATCTGGCAATATAATTTTAGCTGCTACAAGAAGCTGTGTATGAAGCATGAAATCGGAACAATATAGATCATCTTGAGAGAATTTACTTTTTACATTTTATGGGGTGCATTGTAGGTCATCTAAAATAATAATAAAAAAATAATCCAAGTAAATCTTGAGTGTGTCCTGCGCTAAAAATGAAAATAAAGTAGCATGACAATAAAATATGCAAATGTCTTTTGTTGTCTGAGTCATATCTGCTGATACAAAACCATCATGAGTCTCTGAGGTATGCTGCTGATCATATCCTCTCCTGGATGAAAGGATGCTGTAATGCCTGGTTGATAGTGATCCGCTTGGCAGGGTCCAGCATCAGGATCTGGTCCAACAGATCTTTGAGCTGAAAGACCTTCTTTCGCTGGTCCTCTGGTAGTGCCTGGCGACCCACCATATCAATCGACAGGTCCTTAGTTGGCTTAATGGTGCTCATGACCGTGATCTTTTCCTGCACAATTAATTGGAATTAAACTGAATTCACAATATGGCTTAGTGAGATTATCAAATCTCAAAAAAAAGGCTACAATTTAGTTAAATAATAACATGCATTGATTGTTTCCGAGCAAAGCGCAGCCCTTTTCATTTACACTCAGGCAGATGCTCCACACACACTCGTGGATGCATTTGGGAGCACAACATGTGCCAACGATCCTGCCAAAATTCAAATTAGTAGTGCTTAGGAATGGTACATTGTCAAGAAAAGGGAAGCTTTAAAAAAAAAAAAAAAAAAAAAAATTTTACTTTCAGTAAAATTGCAATATGATTTTTTTTAGCCAAATCATAAAGCCCTAGTTATTAGGTAAAAAACAAAACAAAAAATAAACGTGAATGGAATATATAACACTTACCCTTTCAGTGACCTTATCAACCTCGGTGTACAAAAAGTTCAAGTTTTGGTCGAAGTGCTGGTCCTTGAACAGGCCCTTCCTGATCATCTGTGAATATTAAAGAATATTTTGGTCAACTTTTTAGAATGTTTTGTTCTAATTTTCCATTTAATTCCTAATTTTATATGTACTGTAAATGAATTCTTACTTTATTAGGCAATTTTCCCTTTAAATCCATGGCCAGTTTTAGCATGTGGTTATTCGTCTTTCCAGGAAAAAGGATTTTTCCTGTGTAAAGCTCATATAGAGTACAGCCTACAGACCACATATCGATTCCATAATCATATGAATTTCCAATTACTGCAAAAAGAGGAAGAAAACGCTTTAAAACTCTTAAAAACAGATTCATATTCAATGCACTAAAATGGTTTAATTTCATTTAAGTTTGTTTTAATTAGGTACAGTTGCTTTCTTAGTTAAATTCCCAACACACTCACCGATCTCAGGTGCCCTGTAGAAACGGCTGACCAGATATGGTGTTATGTCATTGTCAGAAACGTGAGACGCTGAGCCAAAGTCACACAACTTGAGGATGGTCTTGGATTCGTTCACCTTTATGGAGTCAAAAACATTCATCTTATAAGACAGAAATGAAAGCTACAGTCCAATATTTACAGCAGGAGATTGTGACCCACCAGAATGTTGTCAGGTTTGATGTCAGCATGCAGAATGTAGCAGCGTTTGAGGAGTTTGAGGGCCAGGAAAAGCTGCTGGCTGTACGAGCGCACAGCCTTGATGTGAAGCCCAACGTCCTTGCCATACTTCCTCAACACCTCCCGCAGGTTCATGCTAAAGCAAGAAAACAAGAAAGTTGCTTTAATAAAAGAACTCAAGCTGCCTTGATAGATTCACATGCATAGATTCTTGTTGACTAATGTACCTGAGTGGTTCGAACACAAGGCAGAGATGTTGCTTGTGATAAAAGTGTCTAAATAGCCGCAAGCAGTGGAACTTATCATCAGCATCGGCGTCGTTCAGTTTTTTCAAAAACTCCAACTCTTTGAGGCCAGTCTTTTGCCTGTGGGACAAACCAAGGGCTTCGGTCACATGAAGACCAAACCCACATCTACTCGAAATCTAATTTCTAGTCTAAATAAATCCTTACAACACAATTAGACACATCAAATTGCAATGTATGGTGTTGGCTAAGAAATCCAACTGTACCAGACAGAAATGTTTAAAGGCTAAGCATTCAGCTTTTAAGGGAAACGTCTTACATCATCTCATTGTTGCGTATTATTTTCACTGCCACTTCCTGATTGGCTCGGGGCAAGTCTCTGGCTCGGATAACATTACTAAAGACACCCTGTCCAGTGTAGCCATACACCCCATACCGTTTGTCCAACACCTCGCCAATGTTCACACCTGAATACATTAAAAGAACAATCACGTTTTAACATGGATTCTACATATTTAAATACAGCATTTGCTACAAGACAGCAAACTCACGGTAATAGCCCTCTGCATCTGTCCAGTTATCTCTGAGACTTGGGTTCTCCTTAAAGTCCTTTCCAATGCCTGCGGCTCGTAACCTGGCACTCTGCGGGGACAGGTCAGATGTGGAATTGTCATTGTCAACACAACTGAATTCAGAGAGTTGATTAAAACGTTCATTCATGAATGAGTGACTGACACCGTAAGAGACCATTTCAAAGTCTGAGAGGCCTCGAGATCCAGTGAGCGCCACAGAGTCAGATTACCCACTTCAAAAAAAAAAAAAAGCTTTGAACAAAGTTTCCAGAACAGAAACAACAGCTTGCACAGGACTATGCAACTCTACCTGTAGAGATCCCCTTACATGGACAAATTCAATCAAATTCTGGGGCTTGCAAAGCCACTGTGGAAAGCAGAAACTTGGCTACTCACGTCAAAATAAGCAGCGAACATGTCATCTGACTCTGTGAACATATCAGGGGCTGCTGGCTTTTTCAGATTAGCACCTAAAGAAAAAGAACAATGATGCAATGAAAGGAACATAGAATCGCTAATAATATATCAGACGACCTTGCATTACATCAAGGTCGTGAATGTTTCATGTCTCATATTTGAATTCCTCATCTTCCTAAAATAATATGAGAGCCATTTTGGACTTTATACTGAAGTGGTGGATTCTGGAATCCACTGCTGCTTCAATATATATTTAATGAGTGATTATAATCAAGGTATTAATCAATATTTTTCCTTCTAAATATTACATGAGTTGACTGACTGAGATTTTACTTTGTTATAGAATTTACCAGTGTGATTGCTGAAATGTTCTTTTCGTGTATTCTTTAATGTATGTCTTAAATATCTGAGGGGTGACTGAAGGGTCTGGCCCATTTCAGGAATGCAGTAACAGTGCTGGCTCATTTAGTCCGTTTCTAGAAATTAATTATGGACTTCTTTAACATGGGTCACTTCATTCATCTGCTTTTCTAGGGTAGCCTGACATCTATGGTCACAGGGGTAATTGAAGTCTATAGTTTAAGGGACCCTTTCTTTGTTAAAGCCTTACTTTACTGTTAGATTAAAAGTGTCTTCTCATTGAGAGAAAGAACATATCTTGATGTTTTGAGAAGACTGAAGACCTGGACAAATCCAACATTGAAGAAGCTGTGTGTCTGTGTGTGTGTTAGAATTCTTGGTTACAGGTTAACGAACAAGTGGCATTTTTGGAGATTGACTGACTTGCTTTCTGCAACATGCTGGCACTTGGACACACAGTCTTGTGACCTCGGAGGAACACAGGGTTCTGGTGGCAGCCGTACAGACTAAGGAGATATGCTACTACCTATCTGTCTTTATCTCATGTGACTGTGAGTGTACATCATTTTAAACGTTTGTCAATCAATATCTTTTTTGTTGCGCAAAACATTTTTTAAATGGAAAGGACACCTACATGTTTAATTGAAGGTTATTTTGCATATGACATACCTGTTTTTTCTTGAGAGACAAGACTATGCTTCGCCTTCACATTATCCTCAAATGTGTCCAGGTTCTCTTGCTCATAGGCTTTGACATCAGCAGCCACACGCTCAAGGATGTCATCAGGTGACGGCGATCGGCTGCGAGTGCTACTCTGAGGACTGCCGTGATCTGAGAGTCCTGACACGTTACTGTCCTCATTCTCTGGCTTATATTTCTGTACAGGACATAATATACAATCACATTATATACTACAACGGTTGGAGTAAGATATATAAAAATAATAACAATAATTAAAAAGACATATCTTATGCTCACCAATACTGAGTTTGAAGGGTAACAACAACCTTTTTTGGTTAAGGATCTGTAAGACTGGGGCTTTATTATTGCCGTTCATTGATTCAAGTAATTTTTTTGACATTTGGGTATAAAGTGTTTTAATTCAACAATATATGGTGTAAAAACATCTGAGTGCTGCCCTCTTCAGGTTGAATGGTGGCTACTGCAGTTGAATTTTCCTATTGGAAGTTGTGTTGCCCTGTGATGTAAGAGGGTACCAGCTAACGATGCCCTTGCCTACAGAGAGAGACTTGTCTCAGGTCCTGTCCCACCCCCCCTCCACTGGGCTCTGCCCACTTTTCCAGCATTTTTCAAATATTGCCAGTGGGTAGAGTCAGGCTCTGACCAGGGGGTTAGTTACCCTTTAATAAACAATACAGTAAAACAGCAATATTGTGAAATTATATAACAATTTAAAAAACATTTTTCTATTTTAATAGATCCCTAAGATGGATAAACTGAACACACACATACACGGAGCAGTGGGTAATTGTGGGTTAGGTGCCTTGCTCAGGGGCACCTCAGTCATCTCCTGCCGATATTGAGAATTGAACCAACGACCTTCAGCTTACCAGTCTGACTCTCTAACCAAGTCACGACTGAAGGGAAATTTCTCTCCCCTCAAAAAAATAGTATTGACCCCAAACATTAGTGTATGTCTAACACAAATCAAAAGCCATAGCATAAATTAAAAATATTCTGACCTGCATGATGGCCAAGCGCTGAAGCCTCCTCTGCTCTATCAAAGCCTCCTCGTCCTCTTCATCAACGTCATAATCCTCAATCCTAGACAGATTGTAGTATTCGTATTTAAAACCAAATACAATAAACAACATTGAAGCAAAACATAATTTTCCTTAATACTCACACTTCATCATCCGAGTCCTCCTGCTCAGCCTTCATTCCTTCAGACAGACTGCCCTTAAACATGTCCTCTCTTTCCCTGCTCCTTCTCCTCCGCCTTTCTCGTGATCCTGAACGCACCTGGTGTCTGCGCTCCATCCTGTCACGCTCCCTAGATCCACACAGTATTAATTTAGTTTTAATGCTACTGAGAGATTAAAAAAGGGCATTACAGAAAGAAACGCACTTGTTTGGGGCTTAATCACAGTAGGGGTAAATCATCTGCTTTACACATTCTGTGCAAAACTAATCCATTTGAATTGAGCGGTTCAGTCCAAATTTTCTGAAGAGACTTGATCCCCTTTATATGATGAACAGATTTAATTTATGATTTTATTCACATATGAACAATCAACAAAAGGAAACAGAAACTCAACCGAACCTGATGCATTAGAACAAACCTCTTGAGGAAGCTCCAATGTGCTGTGTAACACATGACATAATGAAACTAATTTGGTTAAAGCAAACATGCTTGAGCTTCCATTTACCACAATTGATGTCTGAGATTATGAGTATATATATTATGTAAATAAATCTGTTTATCATATAAGGCAATTGTGTCTCTTCAGAAAAATTTGTAATAAACCGCTCAATTCATATGGATTTGTTTTATTGTTTTATCTCTTTTGAACTTTTTAAAGCATCAAAGTGGTAGTTGTGTAGCCGTCAATAGAGGGATAGAAAGCTCTCCGATTTTTAGCTCACCGAAATTTAAGCTTCTTGGATAGTTGTATCCTCTAAATGAGGAGTTTCAGTGTTGCAGATTTAAAAGCTACAGTACACCAGTCACCTGTATCTGAAAGGAGACCTGCTGCTTCGTCTTCTGGGAGAACGGGACCTTCGTCTGAGAGGCGAGTGGTTTAACCTTCGTCTGGGACAAGGACTCCCATCTCTATGGCCCCCTACCTCATCATGAGATCGCATCCTGTGAGTATAACAAAAAAGTATGAAAACGAGTATAAAAAAATATTTTTGTGTAACAAGGAACATTCATATAAACAATATTAGTAATAATAACAATGTGTTTATAAACTAATATAGTTTTTTTTATTATTTAAATACTATTACAGAATGTATTAATGCATTACTTATTCATTTATATTATTTTTTTATCTAACACTTAGATTTAATTGCAGATTTTTAATTAACAAAAATATTTTTAATAGTTATAGAAATAGTTTTATTAAACAACTACAACACTGATTGAATACAGATGCAATTACAAAAAAAATGTATGATGGAATTCTAGCCAGCTTGAAAAGTTAGAGCAATGACACAATCGTTTCTATCAAAGATTTAAATGAACAGAGCAAGACAGAAAAATAACCTGTCATTGGGGAGTCTCTGACGCTCTTCTTCTCTCCTTCTCCGCTCAACTGACCGAGAACGCCCTCTCCTTGGAGGGAATCTTTTTTGGCATGAAGATCTATCCTGTCTGGATGGCCTGTCTGTGCCCTGCACAACAGGGAAGCGTTCTGGTGAGCGGAGGCCCCTGGGACGAACAGACGGGCTGTGCTGTTCTGGACCTTGTTTTCTGCAAGGAGATCGATTCTCTTTTCCCGATGAGACTTCTTTTAAGGATGCCTTTTCTGATTTCTTGTCTCTCTCCCTATCAGCTTCTAGCAAGTTGGTGTTTCTTTCTTTAGATCTAGATTTGCTCCTCCTCGCTGAGGATCTGTGGTCTACAATTTGCTCTTCAGGCCAAGTAGCTGATTTTTTGATGCTTGATGGCAATCCCTTGGACTTCACAGGAGATATGGACCTCTGACCACCGTCTTTAGATCTCTCAATGCTTTGGGATTGTCTCTGCTCCTTTTCCTGGCTGGGACCACTAGGCCTCTCAGAGATATTAACATCTAACCCAGTCTTACTAACTCTAATTTCTGATTTATGAGCTTGGACTGACATCTCGTCAGACGTGCTTCTGCCTTCCAGCAGAGAATAAAAATTTTCAGCATCTATGCAATCCTGTCCAGATTTTTCAGCATGTCCCTTAGCCATTACATAGTAATCGAGATCATGTCTCTGTTGTTCACCATTTTGCACAGCCTCCTGGACCTCACCATCCTCCCCTGAATCTGAGTTATAACCCTGTAATATCAGTCCCATACCTGATTGCACAGCCCCTTCCATTAGCTCATTATCAAGCTCTGCTTGAATCATGGCTCTCTGTTTCTCCAGATCCTCTAGAGCAGCAAGGTCATCAAATCTGGATCGCTTTGGAGAGATGACAGCACCTTCATAGTCAGCAGAACAGTCTTTATCATCATGGAATGAGTCTCTGTGTTTCCGCTTATGTTTGTGTTTGTACTTGTGCTTGTGGTCCTTCTCATCTGGTGAGGGATATTTATGTTTTCTATGCTTGCTTCGATGTTTGTGTTTCTTTCTCTTATGTCTTTCCACCCTAGTGAAGTCCATGTTATTTGCTTTTCTAGCTCCATCTTCACCGGATACATGTTCATTTTCATCCACGCTGTCAGAGCTCTCCATATCATCCCTGGAAACGAGTAGAGAATAGTATTATGATATTATCTACTTTCCAACGAGCACAACAAAGATATAGCCTGGTTTGCTAGGATGTATGATGATAAATGTCAACAATTATAAGGTATTCAAGACTTATGTATCATTGTTGTTGGTTTAAACTTTAAAGTATATAGAAAAACACAGCTGGTTCACGTCGACCAGAGACGGACAGAAGTGTTAATATATATTGACTGAAACTGCATGTCAAACCAGTTGTACGGAACCGTTTTCTTTTTCAGTACATATAAGTTAACTTTTCTTTAAATATATAAATACCAAAATAATGCGATTTAAAGTCCGTAATGGTGTAACATACACATAATCCTTCGCTATTGTTTTGGCTATTGCGTCCGTGTCCGCCATCTTGATCCTGCTGTGCTGTGCTGAGTTGTTTGAATAAAGAAGAAGAGTCGATTCATGATTCAGTCCGGCTTTGATGCCATCACTAACTTTAAATAAACAATCAACTGAAACTTCTAAATTTAGTCTAAATGTAATATTTAGTCTTCTAAATATTAAAGTTAAAGGGTTTTAACATTTTCCTCTCACTATACATTATAAAGTGGCTATTCGCAAAGGGAAATTTGAACTGAACTGACTGAATCACTGAATCGACACACTAATCGGTTATTTACCAAACAACGCATGCGCAGTTTGTATGAAACGCTGACGAGCGAATGGATCTTAGAAAATGACTTGTCCACAAACATTTGTCGATTTAGTGTTAACTGTTTTGCCTACACACTTAAAGCAGTTGTAAATTAGGGTCGGGCACGAAAAAAAACGTTTAATTTAGTCAGTACAGAAAAAAAAATATAGCAAATGCCACATGTTATGCTATGGATTGTGCCTTGATTATGCCTTGGTCCCTAAACCACACTTTTGCTTCCGCAGCATAAGCTACGTAATTTAAAGACACCACTCTGTTTGATGCAGGTACGTACATAATTTACACATCCTTTACACATATAACCGGACACTTTATTAGGGACACATGTTCGCAAATATCTAATCAGAACCTTTTAAATTAATATTTGGAAGACAGTTTGATTGTTTGTTTTAAAGTTACTGTCAAAGTCAGACATTGTGAATCCACTACACTACAGTATCTTCGTCAAACAATTCAGGACTGCAGGACCTTTCAAAAATAACAGAAACATCAGAATGGGAGAAAGGTAATATAACGTTAAGTGAATTTGAACGGGAAAATGAAAGGCCTGTTTCTATTTGTCACTCATTTGGTGCAATAATTTGGCCAAAACCATGCACGACTTTAGCATCTTAATCATCATTTAACATCATTCATCATTGCTAATTAATTGCTAAAAGAATACCTTTTTTGTACTTCAGATCGTTTAGAATACCATATGATGATGACTAACTGATCTATTTTCCTCTTTTACTTTTTCCTAGAATGGGTGGGTTTAAAGATGCATATCAAGATGTTCAACCAGTAACCCTTCGAATTGCAGAAGAAAATGTCACTTCAAGTCTCTATTGCAGCTCAGCCGAGGGCATTGAAGCTCATGTGTCCACTTTAGTGGAAGCTTTCTTAGTTGAAGTGTACCGATGTAGAGTCTGTCAATTTACCAGCAACCAAAAAGCCAATATAAGCCATCATGTCATGGAAAGACATGATCCAGTGTCCCCATGCCCCCATCTGCCATGTCTGGAGAAAGAGGATGAGGAGAGTTTGGGTGTAGGATTGAGGGTTGTTGATGAAGATGAGGTCGACCATAACAGCTCTCCATACGACCTAGAGAGCGACCTCCATTCTGGCTCAAAAAGCAACGAGGATCAGATGGACATGGAGCGTATGTCTTTCCTCCTCCCGATGTACAGCATGTTTCAAAACATCAGCCCACGGTCATGTGACATTGGCCTGGGCTCCAACTCTGATGGCAACTTGCATGTGGCACAAACTTGTGAGGTGACTATAAAGATTCCTGCTATGTTAAAGAGATAATCCATCAAAAAATGAAAATTCTGTCATAATTGAATTGCCTTCATGTTGTTCCAAACCTGTGTGATGGACTTTCTTCTATGGAACATAAAATAAGATTTTTTAAGAATATACAGTTTCAGTTCAATTGGAACCAAAACTGTTTGGTTTTACCAACATTCTTCAAAATATCTCATACAGGTTTGGAGCAAGAAGTAAATGATGACAGAATTCACATTTTAGGGTGGACTTTTTCTGTAATTTAGTTTGAAATATTAGAGAATTTACATGTAAACTTTTGTTTTATGAAGGTGAGCACACTCTTTGAAGAGGGTAGGCATGATGTGGACAGTGAGGAGGAACCTGTGTTTCAGCTAGAGGATACTGGCACAGATCTGTCTGTTCCTTTGAACAGTGGAATGGACACTGAAGTTCAGGATGAGGAAATGGCCCAGTCGGCTCATCTCATGACTCTTGGGTTGTGCAGAATCTCAAGCACTAAGTGTCCACCTCAGTCTGAAAATTCAACAAAAAGCCTATCCCATCCAGAAGGTGAGCAGGATGCTGAAATCCAAAAGCCGTCTGAGGAGGAGGATGGCGGATTGGCCTGTATCCTCTGCCAGACAGTTGCATCCAGTCGTAGCATGCTAGAGGTGCAACTAAAATGCCATAGTGGAGACCAAGGCTTTAGATGCCCTCGCTGCGGTTGCGAATCAGAAGAATGGGTTGATATGAAGCAACACTGGAGGGGACATGGAAAAAGAAAAGGCTCAAAAAGGCATAAATGTAGTGTTTGCCCCAGGACATTTAGGAGAGCTGATTCTTGTGAAGCACATGAAGAAAGGCATAATCAGCGGCATCACTGTCGATCTGAGTCTGGAGGGCTGGTGCAGTGTTCTCTGTGCCTGGAATGGTGTCACTCAGGGAAGGAGTGGGAAATACACCAACAATGTCATTTTCAAGAAGGATTTAAATGCTTACACTGTGATTTCAAAGGTACAAATTATTTACTGTTGCTATGCAGGTGTGACAAGCTATAGGTTGGATTGCACATTTTGAAAGACTTGACCCCAATACAAGAATTGTATGTTTTGAAATAACTAGTGTCTCTGCTGAACTGATGGGCTAGATTTACCCTAAAACTTGGTTGTGATACAAAGCGTAATCACAATAGCAATGTTTTTTCTGTTTAACATTTATTTTGTCCAGAACCGTAACATTCAGTTAGAAATTTCTTTTAAATTCAATATTGGATAAAGTCTTTTTTCGTCTCAGACACCGAAAATCATAAACTTTAAAATGTTTCATAATTTGAAACATTTCATTGTTATTTTCTTTGTCTTGCTCTGTATTTCTGTTGAGTTTTGCTGTTTCTTATCTGTTTTGTTGTTGGTTTTTTTTTGTTTAGAGAAGTCATGGAAGAAAACCCTGAAGCATATTCACACTCAACACAAACAGGCTGATCAAGAAAAACAGATTGCTCACAGTATGTAAGTATCTTGTGTTATCATCGGATAGAAATAAAAATGTATGAAATGATAATCTCATCCTTAATCTTTGTTAAAAATATTAACCTCATCCTTAATATTTATTAAATTAATGGGAAAAAAATCATACAAAATCATTGGTTAACAAGAGTGGGAACATTTGGCTCTTGAAACTTCTGGAACCCTGAAATTTACAGAAACGATGAGTGTCCATAGATTTAATATTCAAAAATGATTGTGGACAACAGGGGTCTCGGAGTCAAAAAGGTTGAGAACCACTGCTTTAAAGTTTAATTGGTGAGATTGTCAGAATGCTGAATCCAACTTCTTTGCCTGTACTCAGAGAAAACCAGCAACTTAACTCATCCACCAAATACCCAGAATGCCTCAGAGGAATGAAGCCAGAGTCATGGTCCCAGGTTAGGAAGAAGAGGTTGAAAAACATGGTTGCGGTAAGGGAAAAGCGCAAAGAAGGAGGAAAGGACAGAGTGGTTCACCTGAATGGTGAGACATCTGTTGGACTCGCTGTTTCCAGACGGAAAGAGTTCTGCTGCAACCTCTGTGACAAGTACGAGAATCATTTCTTTCCTTGCTATATTATCTTGACAAAGAGACTGTTATTGAAGTATAGAATCTTAATGTGGTCATATATTACAGTACATGGCATGCACTACTCTTTAAAGGAGTGTTATTATATGATAAATGGAAGGAAGGTTAAAAAGCAGCATTTATTTGAAATGGAATCCTTTTGTAACATTATAAATGTCACTTTTGCTGAATAAAATTATGAATAAAATTTTACTGGCCCCAAACATTATATGTCAGGATAAATTATTATTTTATCTAGAATAATCATGTTTAGCATGCCTTTACTTTACGATAACTTTTGATTGTCAGTTTTCTATCATTTACCTCTGTCTATCTCTGTACAGGAAGTTTTCTACCAAGTTGACCATGCGGCGTCACATGGGCATTCATCAAGGAGATAAGCCATTTAAGTGCCCACACTGCCACTACTGCACTCGTCTCAAAGCCTCACTCAAACAGCACCTCCGCGTCCACACAGGTGCAGTTTCAAGCACATTGTAGATGTCATCTTTTAATATTAAACACATTTTTTTTATTTTTTATAAATCTTTATCATTCATCTTGTCCACCTCCTTTATTATACCTGGTTACTAAACAGAAATGATAATTATAGAGCCAGGCCATTAAATGACTTTCCCACGCTACTTTAATAGAAGGAGCAAATATATGGATAAAGACGGCTCATGGTGACATGTAGAGATTTAAAGCTTAATGGAATTCCTTTCAAAAGACTGGTTCTCAGAGAACAGTTGCCATGACATTGCACTGCCTGAGAGTAAGAATTCCAGTGAATTGTTTTTCTTTTTGCTTTAGGTGAGAAGCCATACAAGTGTTCGCAGTGTTCCTATGCTTCCATTGACAAAAGCTCTCTGCGTCGACACTCAAGGACGCACACACAAGAAAAGCCTTACTGCTGCCAGTACTGTCCATACAGCAGGTACATGCACTCGCCTGTCATAAAGTCGACAGACTACTCTTGTTTCATACTACGTCGGTCTCTGGCTAAGAAATGTCCTCTGCGTTTTGGTTCAGCATCCAGAAGAAGAGCTTAGACCTCCATTCACGGCGTCATCACACAGGAGAGTCATTCCCTTGTCACCTGTGCCAGTATTCCACACCAGACCGCCAGCTGCTGGTGCGACACATGAGGAAACATCACAGTGCCGAACAAACCGCCGCACTGGGGCAGAGGAACAACTCTGGTTCTGGCTCCCAAACCGCACCTTCTCAAAGAGCTCGGACATCCAAGTGATATTTATGATTTGTAAATAAAATGTATTTTATATATATATATATATATATTTATTTCCTTTGCCTTGTGAGTTTTCTCTTTCCAGTCAGTTATTTTATAATGACAAAGCAAAGTATTGTTTTCTTATGCAAACAAGTAAATCAGTAAATTCCATTTACCATTGAAATTGGAATATTATGTTGATCAGTAACTAAAGTCACAGTTTGATACATTTGGTGGAATATAGGTGACTTGACTATAATTTACTTTATTTCATTGGGTGGTTAATTATAGCTTAAAATAGTAATAATTTAATAAAATAGTAAGCGATTAAAGGGTTGACCAATGCCATGATACAGCAAGTGTAATACTGCGCCTAAAACTACAAGCAAATCCCACTACCAATCCAATAGAAACTGGATTATCCCACCTGTTGCTCAGTGCACTATCAGCCAAATTTTACGTTAACAGAAGACTACTAAGCTTTAGGCGTTTTTAAATGTTTGTTTTAATTAAGGGATAGATTTAGGGATAGATACATTTGTAACATTTACTTTGTGTAAAAGTAGTTTACTTTTAATTACCTTTTTTTTTCACCATCACCTCGAGCTCAACTCTTTGCATTATGCAAACGAACAGCGCCACTACGCGGCGGCAACCAATGAGATTGACGTTAGTGACCTGCCGCTTGATACAATTGGATACTGCGACAGAAAATGTACGCCCACTAACACCCGACAGAAATAACAGCCTCGATGACCTTTAACGGTTTTAGTCGGTGTGTGAACTTGAGAAATTCATGATTTTGGATGGGAATTCACAGTGACTGCACACAAATAGGGCGTTTAGAGCTCACAATCTGCAGGCGAAGAGGAAAGCGGAGGAGTTTGTAGTTTGTACAACTTGTGTCATAAGATTTGTGTATCCCACGATTTGCTTTCTAGTTCTAGTTTTCTTTTGATTTTGAAGCGGATGAATCTTCTCTTTACTTGTTTCTTTTTATCAAATTTAATTTAGAGGTTTTTATTTAATGTGTTTATGACACTAATCAGTTATGGCAGGTGTTGATACGGATTTCTTGCCTCACCTGAGGGTAAATGACTGCTGGGTCGTCGGGCTCGACCGCTTCGCTGTTGGTCCTGCTGGAGAAGAAGACGAGTTTTTCGAGATTAGGACTGAATGGTCTGAAAAAAGCATAACATATCTGCGAAGGCGATATCACGATTTAGTGAAACTTGTTAAGAATTTGAGCAAATCATTTCCAGACGACAGAGGACGTTTGTTGATGCTTGATGGTATGACATTTAACAGTTATGTGCATTTATGACATTTGAAATAAGTGGCCATTTAATTGATTGGAGACTTGTGTTCATGTTATTTTTCAGCACTACAGAGGATAAAGGAAGCAGAAGAAAATAATAATGTTGAAACCAGGTTGGATGAAGTCGAAAAATTATTGAGAAATATAATCAAAATGCCACAAAAGGTGACTCTAGAGACTAGCATGCACCCTCTGTCGATAATTAAATCAAATTAATAATTTTATTTAATTAACAAAAGTTCAATAATTATGCAAGTAATTTACTTTACAGTTCTCTCAGTCTGAGGCAGTTCTTACATTTTTCAAGACCTCACCTGTTGACTACACCTTGAAAACCATGTATGAACCGACCCAGCCTTTCAACAAAAGTCCTGTCACTGTAGCTGGTTTGTATTTATGAATTCTCCTGTTTTCTTAAACTTACAGAGAACTGATTTTGGATTTTAAACAAGTTTTTTAGCTAATATAATATGATGCTTGTCTACAGATGTCAGAAGAGCCAATGGGTTTTGTTTGGCCAATACAGAAACAGTTATTTTTGATGCGTATTTACTAGCAGAAGGAGCAGCAGCAGAGCCATATTCAAAGTAAATTTCTGACACATTCTAATAGTCACTCTTCTATGTCTTATATTGATATGTTGCTCATGTGAGTTATCAAAATCATGTATGTTTTGTTTCGTCACATCCAGTTCTGAGATATGGAACAGAACGAGAATTCAAAATGGAATCCGATGTGTCAAGGAAACTGTACACAAACCTGGAAAGGGCTTCATGACTCCTGGTACCAATGAAAGGAAAGATACAGACCATCAACCTAAAAAATCACAAATTACCACTAGCAACTTGACCTACCTCCACCAACAAGCCAGTGAGACAGACATCCTTGAATGACATAATGCACTTGACTGTGTAATTACATCTTTCTATTTTTGAAAATCTACAGATATTGGCATTTTTAAAGTTTTGTCTTATAAAGTTTTTTTTTTAAATAAAATAATACACTTCTAAATGATTTGCAAAGATTTATAAAACAAATAATTATAAGATTTATATGATTCATATTTTTATGTTAAGATGAACTGTAATATTAATAAAAAAAGTTAAGCAGGTCTGATTAATGTTTTTTTTTCTTCTCTGTGTTCATTTTTATGGCATTTACAAATCATATAAAACGTTTAGTTGATTGCTTTAATAGTTCAATTATGGTGACTGAAGGTTGTTTTAATATGTATACACACACACAACCTATATCCTTAGGTTGATTACACTATATATCCAAAAAGTATGCTGATACACCACACTTATATTCATGTTGAGCATTTAATATCAAAACCTTTGGCATTAATGGTTTTCACTCTCCTTGTTAGTCATCAAACATGTTTTGGGGGATATGCTCACAATCTGATGTCAGTGTCCGATAATGAATAATGGGACCGTTGCAGTCCAGTTTGTTCCACAGGAGTTCAATAGGGTTCAAGTCTGAACGTTTGTCTAGGCCTGTCAAGTTCTTCAGTAAAGCATTAATTTATGGGCCTTGCTTTGTGCCCAAAGGATATGGAAGGCATTTTCATGTTGTAAGACAAAAAAGCCCTCTTGTCACAAATTTAGAAACGCATTCAAGAATGCTATTGCATTTTAGATTTTTGTTCTCAGGAATTAAAGGGCCTAGCCAAATAGTTTGCCCATTAATTTAAAACGGCAAATTTTTCAAAGTAGAGCTGTGTTATAGTACTAAGGGTACAATATTTTTGATTCACTCAAACACAATTAAGGTCAAAATAAACTTTATTCAGTTTTAATAATGACTACTGGGATAAATACATTCTGTTTTTTTTTTCTTTTCTCAAGTAGGTCAAGTCCCTCCCTATCCTGAAACAGACTGAAGGCTAGTATAGGCTGATCATTATTTAGCTGGAACATGGAGAATCCTTTCAGACCACATTCAGGTCAGTGAGCAGTTCTCTTGATGAGGGATGTTAATCAGTCCTTATTGAAAATGTCATTGTGCTCCACTTTCACATTGCATAGATTGATCTGACTCACTGCATCCACTCAGACAATCCATACACTCTTAGTTTTGGGTCAAAAAGAGTTGTTTCCATCAACATCTGGCCTAAAGTACTACTCTAAACAACAAACAAAGGAAGCATTTTGTAGTTAATTCGTTCTAAAAATCAAAACAGCTCTACATTTCTTCCTGGTGACCTCTTTACTCTCTTACATGCTTGTCCAACTCACTGCTGGGGTGCTTGCCAATATTTCAAATGATTACACATTCAAACTTCGAATGATATTACATAAATAGGGCCATTCATGTGAAAGGGGACATCTTCCTCTGTGTCATTGCCATTTATAATCAAACATGGTATTAGAAAACAAAGCATATGAAAAGTCTACACACAATGTTCTCTCAACTCTCAATATATATATATATATACTTAGTATACTTAGTTGTAATATACATCTTTTGTTGTGCACTCTACATTAATTTAAAATGTTGTATTATTGTAAAATGGGTATCATATTCAATCTTATATGTGTATGCTTTTTCATTGGAATGGACTTAGAGCTGCATTTCTTACATGAAAGTGCTATACAAATACTTTTATAATATATTATTGTTGTGTTATATAATATTATTTCAATTGGTTTGATAATTGAATATGATTCATAAATTGTTAATGCTCTAATATATATTTTACTTTAATTTCAGATACATAAGGCAGTATTATCTTATAATGGGTAAATCTGACAATAAAGCAAAATAGGCCGGAAATAGTTCAATATGATTTTAACAAGGTCAACATTTTGAGTGTTTTTGTTTACCATTCACAATGGCCAAGTGACCATTACACTTTGACCATTATAACAGGCCAAGTTGTGAACTACTTACTGATCAATAATCACTTGGTGGTGCATTGATTAGGATATAAAAAGCTAATGTAGGGAGCCACCATTCACAGGCTGACGCAAAGAGGAGAACAGCACTGTTTATTTAAAACAAGAATGTGAATTTTCTTTCAATTATTTGAACAGAATTTCCTTCAGTTTTGTATAAAAATAAATTTAGGATTCGGAGACATCAAGCCAGACATCATGAGCCATCACTCTTCATGGAGAGGGCATCATTGTGCCCCTGGAGACAACAACTGCACTGCAGGCTTTAAGGAGTCCTTAGGCAGCAGGAACTACAAGTTACTCCATGTGCCTATCCATGGGCCGACCCACGGCCACCACCATGGGCCTCCACACACATTTCCCTCCGTGGATGTTCCTGATCATGCACACTACATCATCGGCACTGTCATCCTAATAATTGGCATCACCGGAGTGATTGGAAACGCACTGGTGATCTACGTGTTCTGCCGGAGCCGTACTCTTCGCACTGCAGGGAACATGTTTGTGGTGAACCTGGCTGTGGCTGATTTCTTCATGTCCCTTACTCAGTCGCCCATGTTCTTTGTAGCCAGCCTGCACAGGCGCTGGATCTTTGGCGAGCGCATTTGTGAGCTCTATGCCTTTTGCGGTGCCCTTTTTGGGATCTGTTCCATGATGACTTTGACTGCTATTGCTGCTGATCGTTGCCTAGCCATAACTCAACCTCTTGCCTTGGTGGGCAACGTTAGCCGACGCAAAGCAGGCGTGGTGTTGGCCGTTGTGTGGCTCTACTCCCTGGGCTGGAGCCTTCCGCCTTTCTTTGGCTGGAGCGCTTATGTTCCAGAGGGTCTTCAGACTTCCTGTTCTTGGGACTATATGACCTTCACTCCATCAGTTCGAGCATACACCATCTTCCTCTTCATTTTTGTGTTCTTCATCCCACTATGCATTATCGGCAGCTGCTACTTTGGAATCTTCCAAGCCATCCGAGCAATGGGAAAGGAAATTAGAGAGTTGGACTGTGGAGAAACGCAGAAGGTGTATGAACGCATGCAGAACGAATGGAAGATGGCGAAAGTAGCCCTCCTGGTCATTTTGCTTTTTGTAATATCCTGGTCGCCCTACTCTGTGGTGGCCCTCACCGCCACGGCTGGCTATTCCCATCTCCTGACCCCCTACATGAATTCAGTGCCCGCTGTGATTGCCAAGGCCTCAGCCATCCATAATCCCATCATCTACGCAATTACGCATCCAAAGTATCGGGCGGCTATTGCCCGTTACATTCCAATACTCCGCACCATCTTACGTGTGAAAGAGAAGGAGCTCCGTTCCTCTTTTAGTTCCGGCAGCGTTAGTTCCCGCCGTCCGACCCTCTCCAGCCAGTGCTCCCTGGGAGTTAGCTTCGGCAATGCAGCACGAGCTAACGGCCGCTGGGGAAAGACACGCTTGTCTTCTGCTTCAGATAGTGATTCTTGCTGGACTGAGAGTGAGGCTGATGGTTCAAGCGTCAGTTCCCTGACGTTTGGTCGTCGCGTGTCCACCGAGATCTCTACAGATACTGTCATTCTTTCACCAGGGTCAAGTATTAGCACCGCCAGTGGGCAGAAATCAGAGAAGACACACAAAGTTGTAAGTGCACCGGTGCCGTCAATTACTTTTGAAACGGATGCAGCAGATGAGTCTCTGTCTGATGGAAAGGCTTTGCTCCTCGGAGGGAACTAAGGGAATGACAAAGCTCTGCACGGTACTAGTAACTTTAGTAGCTTTGACCAATTATTTTTTATTTAGAATAGATGTCCTTATTTATTTGCATGTCTTGAACAACCCTTGTCTTGTTAGTTTTGTGAACTTTGTTTTTGAAATTAAATGGTTTCCAGGTTATATGTGAATTTAGAAAATGTATTTGAATAATAAAACCAGAATAATAACCATCTTGTTTTTTGTCTGGTGTGATCAAGATATTGTGGCGTGTAGTGTAAGTAAATGTATGTGAATATAATGTTTACAGAAATCACACTAACACACCACTGTAAACTCATGTTTATGTATGTACATAGGTCTACATTTACATATGTATTATGTCTGGCTATATGATGAAATGCAACTAGAGATCAGGGCCTTTTCTGTATCTCAGATCAGCCTGTGAATGCAGAGTCGCCGAGACTCAGCATTCATTTCATAATGTCGAGTAAAGAATTTTCCTCTTTGTTCTAGAACATCTGATGGTTTGCATTGTTTATCTTTCAATTGATTATGAAATTGTAATAATACATTTACCTGACATAATAAATTGTTATATTTGATTATTCAAACAGACTTTGACTTTATTTTCATTAGAGTTAAAAGGAATAGTCAAACATTCAGGTAGATTTAATGATGCACAGATATCATTGAAAAACCTTTTTATTTATGGAGTCAGATGAAATAACGAGTTAATACACAAGATAAAATGTATTGCATTTAATTAAAAATCCCTTTGCCATGAGAAAAGATGGAACATGCGTGAGACCTTTACCTCTAATCGAATACCGCCATTGAATTAGACGGCCTTACAACATTCTAATGTTATTTGATTCTAATTGTATTTCAAAGAGCAGTGAAGCCACAATACAACAAATTCAGAAAAATGTGGTGGCCTGCTTTATACCATAGACTGTAAAACAATATTTATACCTAGGGTCAATACTATAACTTACTATAACAATAAAAATATATATATAAAAAAATACAACAATTAAAAATTCCTATTAAAAGAGTCTTAGGATCTCCCAAAATGGAACTTGAGGTTGTACCAGAGAATGTCTAATTGAATGTCTAATCCGTTGTACATTGTACATTGTACGTTGTACATTCATTGAACATTCCTAAACCTGCTCTAAAAATGAAGGCACTTCAAGCATACTTAAAATGTATGAATTGCATTTCATTAGAAACAAAGATTTTTTTCTCAGAACTAATTATAAACATATCATATTATTTTTAAACAGCATGTACATATTTTAATATAAAAGTGAATAAAAATAGCAAATAAAAGTGATGTTTTCATGTAATTTTTATTATTCATTCTTAACTATTAATCTTTTGGTAAAATGGTTTGCCTGAAATGTTACTTTTATTTTGAATTTTTGACTCTGACTTATGAATTGTGAACCGGATGTTGTATGAAACAATGACACGCTGATGTTGCCGGCTTCACTCGTTATCTTCAATCGCCTCATCGCCTCTGTATGTGACTGTCCGTTCCGCCGCACGAGAGCTGGGAAACGCGACACTCATTTGAAGCGAATTAATGGCAGACAGAAGATTTAGAAAATAACTATCAATATGGGGGATGATGGTATAGACTACAACATAGTTTTTCCAGAGGCACTGATCTCAGGTAAGTGTTGTTCTGAGGCTGACAGCAGCACTGGGTTGTTTGTTTGATTCATTCTTTGTTGATCTGTTAAATCTATTCAGCGCAAATGCATGTAGCTAAACCTGCAACCTGCGTTTACAACCGTATAGGAGAAAATTAGAGAGTTTTAATAAGAATAGGGCATTCGTCAACCACTAGTGTGTATCATTGGATCCGTGTTGTATGGATACGTTATTCTTGTGTTGACAGAGAAACACTGGCGCGGATCAAAGGAACCAGTTGTTATTCTCCTTGGCTGGGCAGGCAGCAGAGACAAACATCTCGCCAAATACAGCTCCATTTATAACGAACAGGTGACGCATTTCCCTAAAGGCCTTGAAAACATATGTTGGCGTTTCTTTAATAATGGGCACTTTTGGCCCTGTCAAGTTAAAAATAAAAACACACTTTAGATAGTTTGTTTACTAACATACATGCACCAGTGTTTTTTTATTTATTTATTTTTTTTTATCAGAAATGTTCCTAGTCACAAACATTTCTATTATTCACAATGTTATTTTCACAACATCTGATTATGATGTATAGTCTTTAAAACCATTCTGTGCATACCCATATATATATATATATATATATATATATATATATATATATATATATATATATATAATTGGTTTGCATTTAAAGGCTGGAAAGGATGCACAATTTGTCTTATTTACTATCAAGCTTGATAACTTGCATAACCTTTCAGATCTTTTTATTAAATGTATAATAGTAAAAAAAGGAAATCTATAAATATTTTTTACACAATATAATTGAATGTTTCGTTTTCTAAGATAGGTCTAATTTATTTTTAATTTATTTATTTATTTTTTTAATCTAAAGCATTTGAAAAAAAAATGCTTTAGTTTTAATGTGACCTTTATATAAAATCCAAGTTTTTGACCTTTATATAAAAAATAGAAAATCATTGGAGACCGTTTAAATTTGAAGTTACACCCATGTATAATGTTCTTACAACAGCTTCTCATTTCTTTGCAGGGATGTGTGACTCTACGCTACACAGCTCCTTTGAAGACTGTTTTTATTTCTGAACCGTTGGGCTACAAGGAACTAAGAAGCACTGCACACAAATTACTTGAACTTCTGTATGACTACGAGGTGGAGAACAACCCAATTTTCTTCCATGTGTTCAGCAATGGGGGGTTCATGCTGTACCGCTACATGGTCGAGTTATTGCTTAGTCACAAGCAGTTCAGCACTCTGCATGTGGTGGGCACAGTTGTGGACAGTGCACCGGGCAGCCAAAATATTATAGGGGCGCTCAGAGCGCTCAAAACCACTTTAGGGCCTAAAGTCAATGTGCTACTGCAGTACTTCCTCCTGGCACTGTTTGCTGTGGCGGTTTTCCTTCTCAGGATTGTTTTGTATCCTGTGACCAAGTACTTTCACAAGAACCACTATGATGCCATGACGGACCACCCAGCGCCCTGGCCTCAGATGTACCTCTATTCCAGAGCAGACCGGGTGATCAGGTACAGGGATGTGGAGAAGATGGTTAAAGTGTTGCGGGAGAAAGGGTTGACGGTTGAAAGTTTTGATTTCATCACCCCTGCCCATGTGAGCCTGTACAGAGACTGTCCAGAGGACTATTCCAACAGGTGCAGGACGTTCCTGACCTGCTGCATGACGACTTCTGAGGAGACCCTGCTGAAAAAGCGAATCCAAGTGCATCACTGATTATACAGTTTTTGATTGTCTGTATAATATACACACTGTAAATTTATATGTGCCAATCCTATTTGTGAAATAAAAGCACTGTTGTTTAATAAATTAAACAAACTGATCTTAAGCCGTACATGAAGTTTAACAGGGTTAAATTTGTATCCCAAATCTCTGATGTATTTGTCTTATGCTGTGAATTAAATTGTAATTTAGGGAGTTATTGATTTGTCATATAATTGAGACTTTTAGACATTGTGAATGAGTAAATTTGTGTATTTACTATTTAGACATTGTGAATGAATAATGTATTAATGTATTTGACTAATGTGCCTTCCTTAAATAAAAGCTTCTGTTAACTAACCTTGATTAATGTCAACCTTTTCAAATGGAAGTTTGTGGTACTGGTAAGGTTGTGCAGACTAATCTTGCAAGTTTGTCAAATAATTCTTCAAACAATTTTAGAAAATATAGATTTATCTCATTTGAATCCCAAAAGTAAGACTGATTACTGTTGCCTAATTGCTGGCTGTGGCCAGTTTACTACACTGTTTGGAATAGTCTTACAAGTTAGTAATTTAATGCTTTTCTCTAAGACTGGAGTAAAAAGGACGGATTAGGTTAGCTGCTGGTTGCTTGGTCAGACTAGTTTGACACAATCGACACAGACTAAGTTTAAAGCAACTGGTCCTTGCTGGTCTGGCTCTTAAAGGAGTAGTTTACTTTTAACGTTCATCAAAATGAACAAATCTTTTCCCCGAGTCAACTCGTTCATTTCGTTTGTTGAATGAACCAAATGACACGGAAAAAGATTCATTCATTTTGATAAACTAGTTCGAACAGGAGAGTCACAAACGCGCATCACAGAACAGAGCAAGGTGGCCATTTGAGCTTATAAAACTTAAACTTTTTATTTTTATTTTTAAATGAGCGATCGTTTCGCTTGATAAGACCCTTATTCATTGTCTGGAATCGTTTGAAGCCCTTTGAACAGTTTGCAGTTTGCACTGAAACTGTCTTTTGGACCTTGAACCATTTGATTCCCATTGAAGTCCATTATATGGAGAAAAATCCTGGAATGTTTTCATTAAAAACCTTAATTTCTTTTCGACTTAAGAAAGAATGACATGGATATCTTGGATGACATGGGGTGAGTAAATTATCAGCAACATTTTTTAAAAAGTGTACTACTCCTTTAAGATTGTGTCTTAAACAGCAACTGGCCACATATAAGCGAAAGCATAGAGCGAAAGTAACACAATTTTAAAGGTTTATTGTGATTATATATTTGTGATGGGAAAATGAGACTTTAAAAATGCAAATCAATTGTATCACTTGAAATTGCAAATAATTGCATTGTAAATACAATGAAAATGCAGCAAAAACTATTCAATGAGGAAATCTGGTTTGATTAAAATGTTTTTCATATTTAAAAAAAAAAAAAAAAAAAAACATCAATCATGCACAAACAAAATCTTACTTCTATGATTTTTTTGTTGTTTTTGTATTCATATTGTGAATTTGTCCATTATTTAACCAGATTCTTTGGCTCAGCTGGATGGAATTGTGTCATCACGTGCCCACATAGTTCATACGCTATCCGATTCCTACAGTATACCAGAAGATTTTCAAGTGTGCAATACGTTCAGGCTACACTCAAATTTGTCATAGAGATATATTTCACTCCAGGCAGGTAAAATTGGCCTTTGTCAGTCTTGACAGTCAGCCGGTTTGTGATCAGGGGGGCTTCAAATTGGTCAGGCAGAGGTTCTCATGGCATGTCTCCGACTGTCACGTCTGACATTTCAGAGCGAGTCACTGGCATTTGTCTCTCTGGAAAAACCGTCTGTGGCACTTCATATATCATTTCACGCCACTGATAGGAAAGAGAGGAGTTTATTTATCTGTTTAGACAGATGAACGAACTGCTTTCTGTCTGGTTGGTCAAGCTACTTGCGTTGCTTCCTTGAAAAAGTTAAATGGTTACGAATGATTGAATGATTGTAGCCTAATACTTTTAGTTTAACCAATTTCAATCAAATAATAGCCTAGTTAATAGGTTTAGTCTTATCTTAACTAGTGATTTTCTATTTTAAATGATTTTTCTGATTATTTGTATCAAAACAGTGGGCAAATGTAGCCTTTTAGTGGAAGGACATGCTTTTCTTTTGCCTTTTTTGCTTTGAGGCAAGTTCATTGGAAATGGTAACAGTTGTGTCTGTATTC